TTAGAACCACAGACACACGTTTAGTAAGACTTTAGAACCACAGACACACGTTTAGTAAGACTTTAGAACCACAGACACACGTTTAGTATAAGACTTTAGAACCACAGACACACGTTTAGTATAAGACTTTAGAACCACAGACACACGTTTAGTAAGACTTTAGAACCACAGACACACGTTCAGAATAAGACTTTAGAACCACAGACACATGTTCAGAATAAGACCATAACATGTTTGCATTTGATTGAAGACACTCACCATTTCTTTCAAACTCAACATCTGGAGCTGGGACATAGAGTTGAGGCTTCTGAGTTGCGGGTATTGATTGGGTGTTAGCTTGTGTTAGCTTGTTAGCTGGTGTTAGCGTGTTAGCTGATGTCCGTAAAAATAGCGTTAATCCATCTTGTTAAACCACCTCCAGACTTTTCAGTTCTGTCCGCTTTTACGGCTGGGATCTTTCATTTCACGGTAGTCACTTTTAGCTTCTAAACTTTTCTCTGCACTGCGATGTCCCTGATGTTCTCCTTCGTCCCTAGCGCTACCTTTGCTAACACTTAAGCTATTTACTCTCACTCCACTCGAGCCCAAACTGACCACATCTGCAAACCGGGTCGAGATGGGTCGGACCCGGTCGGACCATAGATCCATACTCCAGCCGAGTCAGAGTCCTCAAAATCATAATTACTGTCATAACAAGTACGCAAGGGCTCATAAATAAAAGCCCCTGACTTGTATTGTCCATCACTGAATGACAAATATCTGTTTAAAACGTCCTTCTACAACGTTATGCTTACAAATGCATATCAACTAAGCCCAATGACACCTATGAGTACGTCACTTCCGGTCTCGGCAATTTTTCCGCGAATGTCATTTTGCATGATTTTTATTGATAGTTTCACTGTTAGCAGTTTCTATCTGTCAAAATGAGTTTTATTTAACACAAAAAAATACCACAATATACGAACAAAATAATATTAGGTCCCTTTTTAAGTGCCACGTTACAAGTAAATTCTTAAAAAGCTTCTGTGATAATTATTATATGTATTTTATCTATGCATCCTAAATACAGAGTCTTACTTACACTTACTTACACTGGTCACTTGTGAGACACTAGAGGAACAGTAGCCATTCATGAGTGAGACATTTCTTATGATGTGTATATAAAAAAGCCTTCAAGTTAAGTATCACGATACATCACATCGTGATAGGTATCGTATCACCAGAGATTGAAAGCACATGTGAGCTGCTGTTGGTCTCACTGTTTCTGCTTGTTTTTCTGGTTGACTAATACACGTTTCTTTTTTTTAGGCTTTTTTTTTTTTTAACGTGTTTTCAAGTGTGTGAGGTTACAGAGTTAATTGAAAAGATGTTATCAGTCTTTATTAAATGAACAAGGTGTTAGCAGAAGGTAAAACAAGTTCAGTGGCACTTAGAAATGACTGTTGTCGGGTTTGTCAGCTTGTTTGTCCTTTCAGGATCTTTTTAGGCAGATTTAATGAGCCTTACTATATTAAAGACACATGTTTAGTTTAAGGATCTAATTAGAGACTGAATTAATAATTGTTCTGGGCTAAGGAAAGTGTCCCCAGTTTCCCCCAAATATAATGGCACGATGGACTGTTAATGATTGTGTTTCAGCAGCAGCTTAATCACACCAGTGTGAGAGATCAGAGGCGCCTTTTAGCTCACTGTAAGAAACAGCAGCACATAGACTTGAGCTGGTCTTGGTGCAACAATGTTCACAGTTGATCAACCAAAGAATACTCATAAACCAAAATTGAATAATTATTCTCATTAAAACAAGTGTTTCTCTTGTTAGTTTAAATAGAAATTCCTTTTCTGCAATTTTTGGCTGTATTTTTAGTTGTATCCTCTGATTCATTGTACGCACCAAATACATGATGTATTGTCATTTCTCACTATTATTCAATTGTTTGTCTACCCATATATTCTGGTTTCAGTCTAAGTAATTTGAGTTTCTCCCCATATTCTTAATTACTTTGTAGCCCTGATAGTGTGATTGCTTTTCACACTTTGTGCGGTAATGAGTCAATCAATGACGTCGCAGTCAATATTTTATTTTAGTTGTAATATATAATTGTTTTCCACTGTCCTATGATTTGAATGTATTTTAGAAACGGTTCCGACCAGTTTAGATAATTTCTGCAGTCAAAGTCGCTGAAATCCTTTTTTTTTCCTATTCAAAGAGACGAGGTGAGGCAGCGCTCATACGTGCCTCACCCCAGATCGCTCGCTCCCTCACAGTGGACTGTGCGAGTGCACTCAGCTCGTGCTGGTTGATATATCGCTGTTTGTTTCAAATATCCTGCTTTGAAAACATTTGTTAATGTTCTACTTTGACCATTCCCTTTGACTCCCCTGCTGACCGGAAACACCCCTTTGTCCATCTTATTTACAATAATAATATTAAAATGATATTGTCTATATCATTACAATAGTAATACATTAGCATGATGTATTTATTTTGTTACTGTTTACGTAAATTAAGATGTGTTAATATTGTGTTTTTAGGATTGATTGGTTAGTATAGTACGGTATTATCATTCTGGATATTTGTCCTATAAATATTTCAAATCATTTCAGCATTATCATTCACCAGCTCAGTCTCTGTTTACATGCACTATTCTGTTTGTCTCCATCAGATCGAGGGCTGAAACGCGTTGATTCATTAATCACAACTAATTGATAATTATAGTTTACCTCTGTACATTAGAGCAGCTCCTTCATTGGAGGTCAGTTTCTATAGTTTGACTTGTATTTGTGTGTGTTTCATGTGTTCATTGTGCATGCGAAGCACTTTGGACAGCTGGTGTTGTAAATGTGGAACACAAATGCAGATGACAGGTGTCAACTTATATATTTTCTTTATCCTTACACAGACTGAATCAGGCTGAGAACAAGTTATATGATTACAATAATTCGGTTGCAGAATTAAATGCAATTGGGTTCCAAATGTTTTAATCAAACAACCCAATGTGTAACAAATCTCTATGCGTCACTTCAACTTGAACTTTGTTTTTGTCAAATTTATTAAATAAATCCCATATTCACTGACCTTTTGGGATTTGAATGACTAATCAATTAATCAAAATAATAATTGACTGCGGTATAATCAGTTTAGCCGATAATTAACGGTTATTCCCAAAATAACCGTTAAAAACAACCCTAGCCTGATCTAATCTGTCTTTGAAAACATACCAATGAAATACTATAATAATAATAATAATAATGTGCAAAAAGAAGAGCCATCAAATTACTCATTCTTGTCTTTCCCAGAAAAATACATTGTGTTTCTCTAAAACCTGACATATATTTCTTTGTCTAATAGATAGCTGTCTAACTACAACTGTATATTGGCCAATGATCTACTTTCATAAACGCACATGAATTCAGCTTGAACACACAGAAACACAGAGAGGCCCTGTCTGGCTCGGGAAAGAACCTGGACCTACTAGCTGTGCTCATGCAGCTCTGTAAATTCAGTAATTTTATAAGCCTTTTATTGTAGAGCGCTTTTCCTTCAAAGGATAACACAAAGACTCACAGTCCATTTCACATAAATCATCACTTAAATCATAGTAGTAAGTAGTAGTAATCTTTATTTATATACCGCCTTTTCACTGCACATCGGAGTCTCAAAGCGGTTTACAATTGTTATTTTTGGGAGTGGGGGTGCCAGTACCTATTGTACATATTTTTAGTTGTAGGGGAAACCGGAGCACCCGGAGGAAACCTACGCAGACACGGGGAGAACATGCAAACTCCATTCAGAAAGGCCCTGGTCCAACCGGGATTCGAACCCCAAGACCTTCTTGCTGAGAGGCGAGAGTGCTATCCACTCAGCCACCGTGCCGCATTAAACATTAAAATCACACAGGCCAAATGATCACATGAAACATAAACATTGTGATTTGCAGTAATTATTATATCGTTTTTTTTAAATTTTATTTTGCTTTTATTCAAATGGAAAGTTTGAAAAGGCAAGCACAACACACAGCGAGTTTAAAGAGACACTAACGCGGGAAGCCTATACACTGTTTTCTTGCACCGTAATTAGCGGAGCAACCCTTCCGACACATTGGCATTTTTAACCCCCACAAAATATTAATTAAACACTAACGTGAATTGCTAATTGGTTTCTGTCTGACCTGCTGTCACTCCCCAGATATTACCCTTCCCTGCATTCGTGCATCACTTTCAAAGTTTGTGAGATTTTCAAACCTTCATTGGAATACCAATTAGATCAAATTTATTTTGAATTTTGACTAAAGAAGTACAGATGGCACCTTCCCAAGCGGTCTCTGGTGAATGACAATTCCAAAAAAACTTGCTGAAAGAGAAGCTGTTGCACCAAACACAAGTTGTTTGGCTAAAGATATTTTCTATTAGGCGCATGCACAGATAACAACTTGCCAAATGCCACATCTTTCGCAGCTTGTAGTTCCTCCTTTCTAATTTTCTGGCAACATTTGGAACCTCTTGTTAGAAAGAAATTTTACATGAATTTAAAATATTGGAGTGGCGTCTCATCCAGAGTTTTTTTGATAAAGGAAATTTGAGTGGGATTTGTGAATTATGTCTCTTTATGAAGGTCGATCTTGGTCTGCTGAAGTTTCTCCTTATAATACTTAAATAATAATTTTAATGCTGCATTTTGTATAGTGTGTAGTGAGTATCTCTATCTCATACTCTCTATCTCTATATATCTCTAATATATAGGGGGTGTGTGGTGGGGGGGGGGTGGGTTTGTGTGTTGTGTTGGTGTTTTGGGTGATCCCAGAGCAGCAAGAAAGAGTTGGTAGGTTGTATGATAGTTTGGATGGGGGGTTGGAATAGGTTTGGAATGATTTTTTGTGGTGTGATGTGTTTATGTGAGAGTGGGTTGGGGTGGTGGTATTTTTATGTTGGGGAGAAAGGGTGGGTTTGTTGTTTGGTGAGGGATAGGAGTTTTTGGATGTTTGGGGTATGTTGGATGAGATATGGGATATGGTTAGTAAGAGATGTTAAATGTAATGGGGATTAGGATGGCGGATTAGGCAGATAGTCTTTTTCCAGCTTCATTCCATAGTCTATCCCAGCAGCAAGTCAAAGACCCATCCTCTGTCCCATGTCAAGCACAGCTCCAGTGACTGGTCCATCGCTTCATCATCGTCTTTGAATCGATTTGAGGAGCTTTCGTCCAAAATCACCTCTGAGAAGGAGATCCTGGCTTTGTTTGAAAAAATGATGGTGAGTTTTCAATTAAATAGCTGCAATTGCCTTCTATATTTTTCAAATGAATATTTTCTCTTTAATCTTCCCCCCCCCGCCCCCCCCCCCCCCAAAACCTAGACTTTTTTGTCAGCTGAATTCCTCCTCTCACTCACCCCTGTGGTTTTCCTTCAATTTTTAAGGGCATCTCACAGGTTTTTAGGGTTATTTTCCTGTGCATTTTAAATGACAGAGCATACACACCATATCTTTAGCAGGCTTTGAATGCTAGACTGATAATCTGGTCTGAATACTTTCAGTGTTCAAAGTCATTTTAACTGTGGGAAGTAGCTGGTCTTGTCTCAGGCTCCACTGCGAAGGGCCCCGGCTGTGAAAAGCTTAACCAGCGAGGGGGAGCTGAGCTTACGTTGCTAATATTCAGCCCTGGAGTTATAGATTTGAAAGACAAACGCAAGACTCTACTGTCCGTTTACATCAGCCGGCTTTTTCTTTGTGACCTCAGCTGTACTTCTCTGTACAAAGTGTGAATTGCATCATGTTTTTGTTTGCTGTTCTTCCCTTTTTTATACAGTGCATTCAGCCAATTATGTCAAAATGTTGTTGGTATCTGCTGCACATATGTTGTATGTACCTGGGGAGGTTATATTATTCACTTATAACTAGATTAAGATCTATAACATCTGAGATCTTTGTTTTCCATGCTACCTCCATTCGCCTTGTCTAAATTGTTTTAAGAAAATGCCAATCCAGCTGTTCAAGCACTCTTTTCACCAAACTGTTATTTTTGTTATTAGACTAGGGGTGCAGGCTCTTAAATCAAAATTTGCCACAATAGTATGTTTAATATTTAAATTGTTTCTCTAAATGTATGTGATCCTGTAAGTATTCTGTGTATTTTTGTTTTGTTAAAGGGGTGTCAAGACTTGTTCAGTTGTTTTTTATTTGTAGTAGTTATAGATCTTTCTGAACAAAATTATTTCGGGTTGAGCAAAAAGTGGTAGTTTATCAATGCAGTAAGTAAATAATAATAATTGAAAAACATCAGCGCAAAAGGAATACTTTTGTCTCTGGCCCCTCCAGTACATTATGGACAAATTACGCTGGATTTGGCTTCATAGAAAAAATCTTGAAATAATATTGACTTCTAATTACAGAATACACAATGATAATATTAGTAAGTGTGCACCTCTCTGTGATTTTGAGATTTTGTTGGTATCTCTTTGTGGAAAAGTCCAAACCCTATATACTGTGCTGAGGGATAATGGCCATTGGTCTGAACATACATCTGAGAACAATATGTGAACATAGATTCCTACTGTTTGTAAGAGCGCAGCCAGCTTACACAAAGAGGCCTTCATGTCCGTATGTTCAGAAACAAATGAAAAAACTATTTTTATACTGTATTATCCTCTCCTCCACTGACGAGTACAGAAGAGTCTCATTCTTGTATTCCATTTGTAACAAAACTGTAAGAATCTTGATAAGTCAAACAGAAAATCAAAATCTCATCTTGAAGGAGCCGGCTGAGGTCATTAATTTGTTAGCTACATTTATGATAAATAATCAGCATCTGTTTTACTATTTTTAAACTGGGACTGACCTGTTTTCAGGCAATGGCTTTTCAAATTTAGTAAGAATCCAAATGTTCTTATTCATGTGGTAATAACTAAAATAACAAATACCAATATCTTATTTCTTCATTTCCTCAGGAGGACATGAACTTGAATGAAGAAAAGAAGACCCCATTGAGAGAGAAGGACCTCAACACCAAAAGGGAAATGGTCATTCAATACATGTCTACTGCTGCAAAAACGGTAAGTCATATCAACCTTATTAATTTGGTGATTTTAGAATTGTATTTCTTAAAAAAAAAAATAAGAAGTGTGTTTTAAAGATCAACTTTTGCATCTGTGGTCTTATCTGTTGAATCATGGAGGTAATTTACACAACACAAGTTTTACTATTATTTTCGGTTTGATATGATTTTTCTGAACAAAATGAGTTGGGACTGAGCCAAAGTTGTTTAAAAGGGCGGGCTATTGCAGACTGATTGGTTCAATATAAATGTTTTAAACAGTTAAAAAAGGACTAGGGTTCAATTTTTATAGCACAATGAATCACGTGGTCGTTTTCTCAAGCTTCTTATATAATCATTGATGCTACAATGTCATAGTGAAACATTTAAAATCATATTAAGCAGACAATAAAACTACTTTGACTGATTTTCAAAAAGATACATTCTTTTTCAAATCCATTTAAACCTGGACTTGTTCTTTCTAGGACTATCTGTACAGCTTTATGTGACAAGATCCATTATTAGTATCTTGTGAATTGTTATAAATACCACCCACTGGCAAAAGGTACTGCACTGTTTCTTATGCTCCATTTTGTTTCACTTAAATCTTGTCCAAACTGAATACCTCACCATTGATTTTGTCTGTTCTCCCGGAGCAGAAACCCGCTGACCTGTGGTGTTATGTAGTTGACACACAATCACCTTTTACTTGTCATTACTGATGTCTGCTCTGCCGCTTGTTTCTCACTAAATGTAGTACAAGCAGCGTTTTATTGTCTGCGCACAAAGAACACTCCAGAGCGAAAATGGATCTTTATACTGCCAATACAATTTTGCTCAGTTTAATATAGACTCTTATTTATCTTGTGATTTACAGCAAGGATAAACCCATACAATTTTATACATAGCCAAAGAAGTGACTTGGCAAGTGAAGTTTTGACAGTTTTCTCCTTTAAAACAGAAGCAAGAGCATATTCACCTGAGAGCAAATATTGATATGACTACAGTTTGGGGCTTGACGTGTCAGGGGAGTGACAGACTGGGCAGGCTTCCATTGTTTTGGCAGCTTGCTAGGGTTGGGGATTATTTATTCCTGCCAGCAATGATACAGGCTGATTTCTGAGGCCTTTGATGAATCAAAAACATACCCAATGATATGTGACGTCTTGGCATTAATGCAGCTGGCTCTCTCACACGCAGCTCTGTATGCCACCCTCAAGCACAACAGTCACTCGGCGTGGTGGAGTTTAAAAAGTCTGCGATGTGTTATATAGAATGTACAACAGCATTGTACAGCATGTGTAGCAGTACATTATACACCTCTCTTCAAGCTTCTGTTTTCATAGTTCAATTGTTTCAACATTGTTTTTTTGGATTGAATTTATTATGATGTTTACCTAGTCAGGAGTTCATCTAAATTGAACTGGAGTTTACTTGTTCTATTATACAGTATGTATGATGAGCACAGGGACTGTCCTCCTGCTGGTGTTTAGCTGGGATGTCCTGTGTGAATGTAATGTTTGGGAAACGTGTCATATTTGGTGTAAATATTCAGAGTTTTGGGAACTAATTAAGAGACTTGAATTTGTGTCAAATTAAAGAAAACACAAAATAAGCTTTCGGGTTTATCTCTAACCCTAGGCTTTAAGTAAGCCTTCTGGTGTCTTTCCAAGGCCCAGAAATGAGGCGACCACAAACATGTCATAATCCTGAAGGCTTAGAATTTTCTTTCCCAAATTAAACAGATTCTGTTTGAAATAAGTAATTTAGACAAGGCATGTGATAAATATATCCTTTGGAGCCCTTCTGAATATTATATGTGACGTTGCAATGTACAGAGTTGTTTTTTGTATCTAATTATAAACTCGTCACATGCAAAATGTAGTTATTAAAGGAGCAATATGTAAAAATCTGGCCAAAAGTGGTACTGCAGTCATAGTCAATATTTTGTAGTCCTCTCCCACTCTCCCTGACTCAGGTTGCCAGATTCACACCAAATTCAGCAGCAAACACAGGGAATTATTTTATCAGTTGTTTGTCCGTCTCCATTCACATTGCCATGACAGCCGTGCTAATGCTGAATGAATGTTTTGATTAATGTTTTTTTATTATTATTATTTGGACATTTGAGATAAAAAACAAAAACAAAATAAAAGCAATGTAATTATACATAGTTTATGCAAAATAAATAAGAAATTGATGTCCAAAATAGGAGTGGGAAGAATGGATGTTGGAACGTATTTCTTCAGCGTATCAACATCAGGGTTTGCTCAAGAGGATATCGCCTTTCAATTTTATTTATTCCCTATTTTTTAGACAAACATGTAAAAGTCCCACATCAAAAAGAGACTAACATTATTTTAATTGGGGTACATGTGGTCTTAAATGATTATTTTTACAATTAAGCTATAATCTGCAAAAAAACGTCTTGACCTTCGTCTTTTACCGTTTTTAGAGCAATCTGTCATAGAATGTGATAACATGCAATAAATACAAAAAGACATAGCCCGGGATCGAGGCGTACACAGCTTAGACCACTAGACCACCGGTTCACACGAATAGAGGCACCGTGAAGAACGGACTCAAACTAGAAAATTCTGCATCACACGTGAACTTTTATCAGCTGTCTCAATTGTTCAAAGGCGTCCCGATATAAATCCTCGTTTTAGTCTTCGTTTTGTCATTAATGATTTGAGAGTCATAACAAGACCTTTTTTAGTTCTGCGCCACATGTTATTTTACCTCTGAGATTAATGAGCCGCGCGGAGTTCTGGCAACCCGGTCACGGACTTGCATGACACTTCCTGATTGGCGAAACGGCGGAGGGTAGGACATCAAAATCAAAACAATAACAACTTTTACGGGTCGTAAAACTAATTTTGATAATAAATATCTCGGCTGAACTACTGTTATCAGTTAAAGATGAATTCGAAAAGAGTATGATTTAATAACGCCTTTTGAAATATTCGGGTCATTTAATGATGACTTGACATGCAAATATTACATATTGCTCCTTTAAGTGTGACCAGATGTAATCACCAGAGTTTGTTTGTTAGTTAGCAACATAACTGAAAAAATGGGCAGATACAAAAACAAAACAAAAACGGAAATTGTCAGAACTTGGGCGAGGCACCAATTCTGGAGGTATTTTTTTTCAGTTTAACATCTTGAATTCCTTCAAATGAAGAACTATGCAGATATACACTTGGATACAATAATCATAGCACTGTTCCTTTGCTCCTTGTTGTGGTTTGTCGGTAAACATAAATAATTCCCTTAGTTCCAGCCATAGCGGTTAGAAACATTCAAACTTGAATCCATATAGTCGGTTAAAAATTAATTTAACTCATACATTTTGCTCGTTTGCCTTTGATTTTTTCCTGACTATATTCCTTTTTCAGGGAAGTCTGAGGAGCAGCCATCAGATTTCTCCACAAGAGTTTGTGGGAGAGCTGAAATCGGGAGTGATGGATGAGCGTTTGTTTGCTTGTTTGGACTCTCTGCGGGTGTCTCTCACCAGTAACCCCGTGAGGTAAGCGCCGCATCAGTCAGCTTTCATCTTGGCCACTATGATACCATCATATTTCTGCTGCTTTTGATTCCGATTTGGGCCATTTTGTAGAGAAGAAAGGCAAAAGTGAATGATTGCTCGGTCTTATTACATAATGCAGTGACATAGCTATCAATGCCAACAGAATTGAGACGTACAAATCTTACATCTTACAGGTAGATATAATTGCATCAAGCTGTCAGGTGCAGCTACGGTAATAATTAAATAACTAGCTATAAACCATAACATCTGAAATAGATTTCTATTCATGTCTTTATTTGGATCCCTATGAGCTTACACAAGTGGTCGCTAGTCTTCTTGAGATCCATACTACATAGTATTACCAGTAATTCACAATACAAGTTCAAACATGCAGTCAATTTTGTATTGCAGAGTAAATGTTTTTGTTTTAGTTGTTAACAGCTCAGTCGCTGTTGTCTACTTCCTTCACACTGGGCCTGATTTTAAAGCTGGAGCACCTAACTTTGAAACCCAGTACCTTGCTCTGAAAACTGTTTCTATGCATGTACAGTGCTTTGCGAAAGTATTCGGCCCCTGAACCTTTCAACATTTCCCCACATTTCAGGCTTCAAACATAAAGGTATAAAAATTAAGTTTTTTGTCAAGAATCAACAACAAGTGGGACACAATCGTGAAGCGGAACAACATTTATTGGATCATTTAAACTTTTTTAACAAATAAAAAACTGAAAAGTGGGGAATGCAATATTATTCGGCCCCCTTGCGCTAATACTTTTGTAGCGCCGCCTTTTGCTGCAGTTACAGCTGCAAGTCGCTTAGGGTATGTCTCTATCAGTTTTGCACATCGAGAGACTGGAATTGACTGCCCACTCTTCCTTGCAAAACAGCTTGAGCTCAGTGAGGTTGGATGGAGAGCGTTTGAACAGCAGTCTTCAGCTCTTTCCACAGATTCTCGATTGGAGTCAGGTCTGGACTTTGACTTGGCCATTCTAACACCTGGATAGGTCTATTTGTGAACCATTCCATTGTAGATTTGGCTTTATGTTTTGGATCATTGTCCTGTTGGAAGATAAATCTCAGGTCTTATGCAGACTCAAACAGGTTTTCTTCCAGAATGGTCCTGTATTTGGCTCCATCCATCTTCCCATCAATTTTAGCCATCTTCCCTGTCCCTGCTGAAGAAAAGCAGGCCCAAACCATGATGCTGCCACCACCATGTTTGACAGTGATGAGCTGTGTTGCTTTTACCCCAAACATATCGTTTTGCATTGTGGCCAAAAAGTTCAATTTTCGATCGACCAGAGCACCTTCTTCCACATGTTTGGTGTGTCTCCCAGGTGGCTTGTGGCAAACTTTAAACGAGACTTTTTATGGATATCTTTGAGAAATGGCTTTCTTCTTGCCACTCTTCCATAAAGGCCAGATTTGTGCAGTGCACGACTGATTGTTGTCCTATGGACAGACTCTCCCACCTCAGCTGTAGTTATCTGCAGTTCATCCAGAGTGATCATGGGCCTCTTGGCTGCATCTCTGATCAGTCTTCTCCTTGTTTGAGATGAAAGTTTGGAGGGACGTCCGGGTCTTGGTAGATTTGCAGTGGTCTGATACTCCTTCCATTTCAATATAATTGCTTGCACAGTGCTCCTTGATGTTTAAAGCTTGGGAAATCTTTTTGTATCCAAATCCGGCTTTAAACTTCTCCACAACAGTATCTCGGACCTGCCTGGTGTGTTCCTTTGTCTTCATGGTTCTCTCTGCGCTTTAAACAGAACCCTGAGACTATCAAAGAGCAGGTGCATTTATACGGAGACTTGATTACACACAGGGGCATTCTATTTATCATCATCAGTCATTTAGGACAACATTGGATTATTCAAAGATCCTCACTGAACTTCTGGACTGAGTTTGCTGCACTGAAAGTAAAGAGGCCGAATAATATTGCACGCCCCACTTTTCAGTTTTGTATTTGTTAAAAAAGTTTAAAATATCCAATAAATTTCGTTCCACTTCACGATTGTGTCCCACTTGTTGTTGACTTTGGTGTTTTGTTTGAGCAAACAATGCGGACCATGTGTGAATAATCCTCTGTATGTCCTGTTGATATGTAGCGTTAAATCTGATTGTGATAGAGTCCGTGCCTCAGTCACTAACCGCACGTCACCGACAGGCTTTTTACTCCAACGCAGTTGTAATATATTTGCCCATTATATATGATCTTGGAGACGTGATTGCATCACGTGCACGAGGTTGGCCAATAATGTTGTATTGTGTCAGTGTCACAGGTGGGTTTCTAAGTGGTTCCTCTGATGCAGGAGGGTCTAAGGACAGTGATGATCTGGGACATTTAAGGACATTTATTACCATTTCTGGACAGTGGTAATCCTGCTCTTTATATGGCTCCATGTGTTTGTTATTATTACCATTTCTGGACAGTGGTCGTCCTGCTCCTTCTATGGCTCCGTGTGTTTGTTATTATTGCATTTCCTGTGAATTGACTACTTTGTTAAATCCTCCCAGGCAACTGCTGCTGGGGTTTTGGACGAAACACAAATGCATTGAAGTGAAACTACATTGAATTCAATTGAATAACATATTTTTCTTATTTTAAGATTTCTTGTTTTCTTATTTTTTCTTGAATTAAGAAAGAGGAGCCTAAATAAGTCATTGTTGCTTGTTTTTGGATCCAAATGACTTTTAAAGCACGTTTTTCTTAAGAAAAAGCTAGAATTAATTTCTTAAAATAAGTATTTTATTCTCAAGGATACTTTGCTAGATAAGATATTTTGTCTTTTTATACAAAAAAATAAATATTTTTTTCTTATTTCAAGATTTATTTACTTGCTTAGAATTTACTTTTATGCAGTGCAGTGTGATGCGTCGTTTGACCTTGCTAATAAAGATGAGGTGATTTTTTTTTATTTAAAAAAAAATGCAGTTTGAGGTCTATTCCTGCAGGCTTTACATTAATTAAGTAATGTTTTTTTATAAAGCGCATTTTACAGATTAAGGACCAAAGCACAGTACAATGTTCAGAGTTCAGATATTGTTCCAATCATTCCACACACGGTTATGACGGAAGTGAGTCGCTGAACACACTGGCGCATCAGCCCCCAATCAACACCATCGATTCACTCACTGATTACTTTCATACCTATTGTGCATATTTTTAGTGGTAGGGGAAACCGGAGCACCCGGAAGAAACCTAAGCAGACATGGGGAGAACATGGAAACTCCACTCAGGAAGGCCTTGTTTCGACTGGGATTCGAACCCAAGACCTTTTTGCTGAGAAGCGAGAGTGCTATCCACTCAGCCACCGTGCCGTGCTGCCTCAACTTAACTTTATAAACTGAGCAATGGTTCCAGATGCATATCATCGTTACTCATAATCTCTATTCTACTCTGTATTTCCCAAGTAACACATCCCAAAGAGGATGTAGGAAATGGTTATGGCTGCAAGAGTGAATGGGGAGTGAATGTTATGTTTAAAATGCTTAAAACTCTTGACATGAAAACTACATGCATAGATTATCCTGTTGTCTTGGCTTTTCCACTACCACTGTATATGAAGTCTGTTGTGACTCATAAAACTAAAGTTTTGAAAGTAAAGCTGCATCTTCCTTGTAATAGATAAAACAGCAGCAATACAGAATGGCAATACTTTTGTTTTTGTAATGGAGAGTGGCTCTTGCCCTTGCCAACATCTATTCCCTGGTTGTTGTTGCACTGCTTCGTCAGTCTGGCACATATACTTCCACAGCAGGTATCTTGTGGTGAAGGTAATGTGGTCCGCATTGAGGCTCTGCGCATTGCCCTGTGACGCCTTCACTGACCCTGGGACACTTTTGCTATTCCAACTCCCACATACTCGTTCACCGAGGAGACTGCACTACCTCACTCCAGGGCCAGCAAGGCTACAAAAAGCAATCATATTAAAGGGATTTGATAAATGGACATGGCAAACAAGTGCAAATTGGTTTTTGATATTGTATTAAACATTGACCTTCAAGTTTAGGCTGAATTTGAAGATCTTCTAGTATGCAGGCTTTAATAAACCTTGAGACTTCTCACACATTCCTCCGTTGGCTCAGAGTATGATGGCACATTGGTTGTTTTCAGTGAAAGTAAATATTAAATATCTCTATAATTTATGTTATGTAAAAATGTTTTACATAACATCCCTCTGGTTCCTCCCTGCTACAGGGTGTTAGAATAACGCTCAAAAGAATGAAAGCCCCTCTTATAGATCTTTTTAAAATTTAAATCAAGAAGTTTACCCTATCTCTTGAATAAAGTGATTAACATGAAATAGCCAATGTAGGAAAAACCAGTGTGTATTCCCCTCAGTGTGACTGTAAGCTTCTTTGTATCTCAAGCAGGCAACGATGCTTGACTTGTTAAATAAATGCATAGAGACCACATATCTGCATTGGTTGTATAGTTTAGTAACCTGAAAAACCTGAAAAGGACATTTCTGATCATTTTGCTCCTCACAGCTCAGACACCAAGTACACTGGGACTTTAAATGTGATTGAAGTTTCTCATTTGGGATGTGGGAGGTTGCCAGATGTTACAGCTAATGAAACCCAAGGGCTGGCAGAGCACACCAGATTAGCAAACACAATTTAAAATGCTTTAATCACGCATTCTTTGTAGACCGCATGTCAAATACTTACACACCACTTAACCCATGTTAACTGAAAACTTGTCACAAAATGTTCAGAAACAACTTACTTTTTGGTCTAGTCACAGAGATTTGCTTACAGTATCCCGTCTAACAAGAGCAACATAATGGAAACTAGGAATTTCAGTATTGTGGTATGCTTAAAGTCTTTGTATTAACTGTCACCATAAACACCATTTCTATAGAATAAATAAATGATTTTCAGTCTTTAAAAAATATGATTGGCTGAAAACCAAGAAATTACTTTCAAGGCCAGAGAAAAAATTTAAAGATTGAAAGAGATCCACTTGAGCCATAGAAGAAAGGCTTGGTGTAGTGTTACTTTCTCATTTGGCTGCTCCTGCCTGACCTGTACTGTGATGTCTGCTTTTGTCCTCCTAGTCCTCCAAATGAGATTCTCTTCAGTGTGCCATGTTCACAAACACTTTGTGTTTGTAGTCTACTTGGCCTTCACCACCAACTTTTTAGGTTTTAAGGTATAGCTCTAAGTTACAGATCATGGTAAAAAGCTGTTTTCTTCATCTTTTTTCAGATTAGATTAATTGATATTTTCTCCCCAGTCCTGTTTTTTGTTCATATCTGAATGCACTTCTCGTTGAGCTATGCATTTCAATGAAGCACACAAAATCTTACCTTCCCATTTCCCACTTTCTATCCACAATGGTCTGGGCCTTGAGAAGTCTAAGCGAAATGGATTTTTTTTCATCCATCCAACATAGGGGTCTCACATCACTGCAGCCTTGCAAAGAGCTGTCTTCATTGGTGCGTATGTGACAGTTAGGGCCAGAGGATGAAGAGGCCTGACAGCATCGTTTACATACCATCACACTTCCAAATGTGGACGCCCATAACCTTTCTGCTTTTATATCCTAATAACTTCATGTAAAAAGAAAAAAAAGCACTTAAACATTCTTTTTCACTGGGTTTGTTAGAAAACAGTTTATTCTTTTGGAATCATTCAGTAATACTATTGTGTGTGGGTCATTAGACACTATAGCAATGGTTCATTTTCAGCCATAAAAAAACTACAATATTTTATTTCACCACAATAGATGGTCACAACTATTATTTTCACACAAATAAGACAACTCTCTCATTCAGCCCTTGTCTCTCTGGTTGCCGAATCAAATTCAGATAACAACGTCCTCTTTTGTGTTGTCACCTTGAGATTCTGTGGATTTGAGGATGGGAGGCATGTGGCTTGTTGATTAGAAGCAAACCATCATAGAATGCTAATGTTGAGGGCCTATTCATTTTCAATTAAGCGCAAGGTAAACTACTTATGATCTTGCTCAGGCTTTCTTTTGTTAGCTTTATGAATGCCTGTAGGGTTTTATTATGCACACAACATTATAACTTTATCATTTAGTCACTTTAATTGAGGATTTGCACAGCTAATGTACTCCTTTTACATATTTTTGATACCTCTCTGCCTCTACCATAATTTTTTGTATACCTCTTTGCTAATGTAATCTCTTACAAATACTATCGTAATATTGTTGATGCCTATCTGCTAATGCACTCCTACACAAATATTGCTAAACTATTTTCTTATACCTCTGCACGCGTAATACAAGTTTATATCGCGGGATAGCTTCTCCTTGGCCTTTTAAATGTAAGTGTCTACTACACAAAGGAAACATGCCCTTTAAAAGAAAAATAAATCTATATTATATTCCTGGTGCTAAATTTTCAATATGACTGCCATTACACACAGGCAGCGGTCAAGTCCCTCGACTATCAAAGGCACCTTCTCCATAAGGCCAAAACTACTCTACTCTTGCAAAGAGCAGCAGATTTTTAATTTGACCGTGTTTTACAAAGACCAGCTGTGGCTCTCTGAAGAATACAAATCACAGGGTTTGAGAGAACTTTTTCCTTTACTTTATTTCATTGTATTAAAAGAATCTTAACAAAGCCTGACATTTTGGTATATCTTTGAAATGGAAAAAGGTTATTCACAGCAGTGAGGCTGTGTTCTTTCAGTGTTGTATAGAATTTGTCCTCAGTTTATTTTGTTTTATTTTTTGTATTCATTCCAGTTGGGTGCAGAGCTTTGGACACGAAGGTGTTGGTCTTTTGCTGGACATCCTGGGCAGGCTTCTGCAAAGAAAAACGTAAGTATTCACCTATGGCATGCTAAAAACATTCACATATGCCACAAAAGTATTAACGATTAACTATTTGGTGTTACTATCCAACATCCCCAGGCAGGAGAAGATGGACAAAAGGAATCAACACAAAGTTGTACAGTGTCTTAAAGCCATCATGAACAACAAGGTAACTTCTAGTATTTTAATTAAGGACTTGTTTTGTCCCTTCATCCTTCTACCAACAAAATATTTAACACTAAACTTTATGTACATTTAATTGAATTACATTAATTTTAAATAATAACAGCAGTCATATCGAAGGACTTTTACTGAGTTGTCTTTCCTCAACAGCAGATGAGAGAATCAAACTGTTTGAACACAGGAAATGCAATAATAACAAACACAGGATGACCAAGATCCTGGATCAACACTGTCCTCAAACCCTCCTGCCTTGGCATGGCCATGTTGTTTTGCAACAAAGACACAATTGCTTATTTATGACCATAATTCCAATATAGTTGTGCCCAAGTTTAAAACTGAGCAGACTTGTACATTAGTTATAACCCTCCCCTGATGGTAGAGCTCTCATGCATGGCGCCTTTACTTCATTGTAGTTTTGAAAAAAAAACAATATCTTGCCACACGGAGCTCGGAGCCGGCGGGAAAAGATGGGGGCACACTGGCACAAATAGTGCTGTAAGGTCTCATGTAATCCGGCGTCTCAACAGGAGCCAGACGCCAGCGTTTACCCGTAGGCCGCTCTGTCAGCCCAGACCTTTCCCTGGCTGGAGCGCGGCTGGGGACGGGATGTACCAACAATGCCAAGAAGACAGGTGTTTGCTGCCAGCTGTCACCGCAGCCTTTTCTTATCCCACATTTCTGCTTCAAGACCCGCAGCTTCTTTGTATACCGTGTGTCATGTCATCGCATGCATTGTGATGGTTTATCCAAAGTTACCACGGCATAAAAAAAATATTACTGGCTATTTATTTGATACGTGAATGACACTAGGATACAAACAAGTAAACATACAGTTGATTTACAATGTCATTATCGTCATATGTTCTTACATAATTATACACTTGTTAAAGAAAAAAATGAAAACTATTCTGTCATTTTTCATTATCAGTTCTTCAGCCATTTGTTAACAAAAACAGAAAAACTATTTTACAATTCTCCTTTGTTTGTGTTTCAATTTATGCAAGGGAGCCTACATATCTATGAGTTACTTTTACAATTATAGTTTATTTAAAATCTCTGGGAATATACTGTACTGCTCACCACCTATACTTGAAAACTGTCTAAAGATGAAATAGAAACATTATACACTTTAATTTGGTTGTGGAATTAACTTTGTGTTTTTGTTAATGAGCAGAATTAGAGCCCACTTTGGTGTCTTTTTCTTCCAGTATGGCTTGGATCGTATTTTGGCAGAAGAGAAAAGTCTTGCCTTGCTGGCAAAAGCCATTGATCCCAGTCAGCCTGCTATGATGACTGATGTGATGAAGCTGCTCTCGGCCATCTGCATAGTGGGCGAGGAGAACACGTATGTGACCCAACATCAGATCAAACTGCATTTTTTTTACAAAGTGCATATTCATGAAGGTTTAGATCTCTGATACTCAAATGTTTAGCACTACTTGTATATACAGAGGAAATATTGGTCATCTTTCAAAATTACCACTAAATATAGTCAAAAACCAGATAAATATAGGATGCCGGAAAATAGCAAAACTGGTAAAGCTGCAGAGCTTTTGTCAAGCCATGGGAGAATAACTCACCATTTTAATTTCCTGATGCTTAGAAAGCCTGGACTTCCAAATGTAAAATGTTATGTCTCTATTAGCCTCATCATCCTCAGACTTGATTACAGACTCAAAGTACAGAATTTAGTACATTGGGAAAATGATATATATTGTTCTATCAATGTTTATTTGACTTTGACTAATGCATGCTTTTTGCTCCCTGATTCAGTTTGGAGAAGGTGCTGGATGGCATCACAACAGCCGGTGAATGGCGGTCCATCGACAGATTTAGTCCCATTGTACAGGGACTGAGAGATCGCTCTGTTCAATTGCAAGTAAGTTAACTCAATGTACTTTTACAAATTGCAATTTGTAAAAGTAATTGCAAAGTAATTCCCTCGTAACTGTAATATCTGTATTTCCTCTTGTGTTTAATCTATTTTAAATCATTTCATTTGTACCTTTCTATTTTGAATGCATTGTTGGTGATTGAGTTTAGCTTGTGCAGTATGTATCTCTCCTCTCATATGTTTGACTGAGTTGAGGCACAAGGCAAAGTGTCTCATCTCTGTCAAGAAGCGGCGCATGTTGAACCCAATTACATATTACTTAAAAATATATATATCATGGACTTTATGTCCTCGTTTTGTTTTGGCTGCCATGATGCATACACAAGAAGGTGGTGCAAACCCCACGTTACACCTGCGATTCTGATTGGCTGATTATTTTTTGATCTCCTGAAGGAGTTTGCATTGGCGTCGATCCCAGACGTGTTCAGCCAAACGTCTCTGGTGGAGCATGGCGGAACTACAAGGGTCTGGCGAGAGTCAGATATGTATGTAGAAGGAGCCTGGAATACAAAAGCATTCTTTTCCCATTTCTGTGCGCGTAAAGGTAACAGAGAGCAACAAATGCTCATTTGAACGCAAACTCTCCCAAAGTCTCTGTGTGTAATCAAATGACAGATGTAAGGGGGCAATTGACTTGGCATCACCTTATAAACAAAAGTGCACCTGTGTCTATTCAAATCAATAGCTTTCCCACCGTAGCGTATGCCAAACTTGCCCATATTTGGGCATCGTCTGGTCCTCCCAGACCTGCGCAATACTCATACATACACACACACACTACACACCATTTTTTATTGTATAGCCCTAAATCGCAACAGTAGTCATCTCGGAGGACTGAACAAACCATTGAAATCACAAACACAGATCAGAGAATCAACAGTAAGACAAAAAAATATATAGAACACATGTTGATAAATGGCCATACATGTTGTAGAATGTCAAAGTGTCCTGGATCACAGTCACCACAGTACTTCTCGTTAGAGACTAACTGTCCAACACACCCTCCTGCACTGACAAGGAAAAACTCTCAAAAAACCAGTGGGAAAAAATTGAGAACGGCCGCAGAACGTGGGCAGGTCCAGTGCGGGACTGAAGCAACTCCCAGGCGGGTCGGGCCGGTGTAGATGGAGGGGGCTAGGTTCAGAGGTCCCGATGTCGTGCTTTGAAACAGACAATGGGACAACGGCAAGGACTGAAGCAACTCCCAGGCGGGTTGGGCAGGGCGCAAGTGCACAGTGGACGAGCTCCCATGATGTGTTGCGCTAATCGCGCGTGTGTGGCTCTCATGCACGTGCACAGATGGGATCGGCCAAGCTTTGACCAATCATAGCTACTGAGCAGAGCTTGAGCAGGAAGAAAACGGGCAGAGTTTGTTGCACTCAAGTGGTGGATTTATAGAAAACCAAAGGATTTAAGAGAAACATTTCAGGATGAAAAGGGACACCAAAATGCACACAAAATCTAGTCTGCAGTACCTTGGGCGCCCCCTTTGTCCATTGGTGGGACAGCTATAAGCTAGTAATGCCCTATCCAGACAATATTATAGATCCTTGGTCCTATCCCACTTGAGTAAACAATTCACAATGATGAGTCGAGACTTTTACAGTTAGTAATGAACCGTAAAGAAGCATGATGCTCTGTGTCAATCTCATGAAGACATTTAGCTGAGGAATTTTTATCCATCCATCCATCCATCCATCCATTTTCTTCCGCTTTATCCGTTGCCGGGTCGCGGGGGCAGCAGTCTAAGCAGAGACGCCCAGACTTCCCTATCCACACACACTTCCTCCAGCTCGTCCGGGGGGACCCCAAGGCGTTCCCAGGCCAGCTGAGAGACATAGTCCCTCCAGCGTGTCCTGGGTCTTCCGCGGGGCCTCCTCCCGGTGGGGCGTGCCGGGAACACCTCCCCAGGGAGGCGTCCAGGAAGCATCCGGAACAGAGGCCCGAGCCACCTCAACTGGTTCCTCTCGACGTGGAGAAGCAGCGGTTCTACTCCGAGCTCCTCCCGTGTGACTGAGCTCCTCACCCTATCTCTAAGGGAGCGCCCAGCCACTCTGCGGAGGAAGCTCATTTCGACCGCTTGTATCCGCGATCTCGTTCTTTCGGTCATTACCCAAAGCTCATGACCATAGGTGAGGGAGGGAACGAAGATTGACCGGTAAATCGAGAGCTTTGCCTTTCGGCTCAGCTCCCTCTTCACCACAACGGTCCGATACAGCGACCGCATAACTGCGCACGCTGCACCGATCCGCCTGTCAATCTCACGCTCCATTCTTCCCTCACTCGTGAACAAGACCCCGAGATACTTGAACTCCTCCACTTGAGGAAGGACCTCTCCACCCACCTGCAGAGGGCAAGGCACCTTTTTCCGGTCGAGCACCATGGCCTCGGATTTGGAGGTGCTGATTCTCATCCCAGCCGCTTCACACTCGGCTGCAAACCGTCCCAGTGCATGCTGCAGGTCCTGGTTCGTTGGAGCCAACAGGACAACATCGTCCGCAAACAGCAGAGATGAAATCCTGTGGTCTCCGAACCGGACCCCCTCCGACCCCTGGCTGCGCCTAGATATTCTGTCCATAAATACAGTGAACAGAACCGGTGACAAAGGGCAGCCCTGTCGGAGGCCAACATTCACCGGGAACAGGTCTGACTTACTGCCGGCAATGCGAACACAGCTCTGGCTCCGGTCATACAGGGATCGGATGGCCCTCAGCAGAGGACCTCCGACCCCGTACTCCCGGAGAACCCCCCAAAGGACACCCCGGGGAACACAGTCGAACGCCTTCTCCAAATCCACAAAGCACATGTGGACAGGTTGGGCGAACTCCCATGAACCCTCGAGTATCCGATGGAGAGTATAGAGCTGGTCCAGTGTTCCGCGACCGGGACGAAAACCACACTGCTCCTCCTGGATCCGAGATTCGACCATCGGCCGTAACCTCCTCTCCAGTACCTTGGAGTAGACCTTACCGGGGAGGCTGAGGAGTGTGATCCCACGATAATTGGAACACACCCTCCGGTCCCCCTTCTTGTAGAGAGGGCCCACCACCCCGGTCTGCCACTCCATTGGCACTGCCCCCGATCGCCACGCGATGTTGCAGAGACGTGTCAGCCAAGACAGTCCTACAACATCCAGAGACTTTAGATAATCAGGGCGGATCTCATCCACACCCGGAGCCTTGCCACCATGGAGGCTACCAACCACCTTGGTGACCTCAGCCAGGGAGATGGATGTACCCGCCCCAACATCCTCAGCCTCTGCCTCTGTAACAGAGGACGTGACGGGGGGATTGAGGAGAACCTCAAAGTATTCCTTCCACCGCCCGACAATATCCCCAGTCGAGGTCAGCAGCTCTCCACCCGCTCCATGGACTCTCCGAACTCCTCCCAGTCCCGGGTTTTTGCCTCTGCAACAGCCCGGGCCGCGGCACGCTTGGCCTGCCGGTACTGGACAGCTGCCTCAGGAGTCCCCCGAACCATCATGGCTCGATAGGACTCCTTCTTCAGCCTGACAGCATCCCTTACTGCCGGTGTCCACCACCGGGTTCGGGGGTTGCCGCCGGGACCAGCACCAGAGACCTTGCAACCACAGCTACGAGCCGCCGCATCGGCGATTGAGGCAGAGAACATGGTCCACTCGGACTCCATGTCCCCCTCCTCCGCCGGGACCTGGGAGAAGCTCTCCCGGAGGTGTGAGTTGAAAGTCCGTCTGACAGGGGGCTCAGCGAGACGTTCCCAGCAGACCCTCACTATACGCTTGGGTCTGCCAGGTCTGACCGGCTTCTTCCCCTGCCAGCGGATCCAACTCACGACCAGGTGATGATCGGTTGACAGCTCCGCCCCTCTCTTTACCCGAGTGTCCGAGACACGCGGTCGAAGGTCAGATGATACGACAACAAAGTCGATCATCGACCTCCGGCCTAGGGTGTCCTGGTGCCACGTGCACTGGTGGACACCCTTGTGCTCGAACATGGTGTTCGTGATGGACAAACCGCGACTGGCACAGAAGTCCAACAACTGAGCACTGCTCGGGTTCAGATCAGGGGGGCCGCTCTTCCCGATCACCCCTCTCCAAGTGTCACTGGCGTTTCCCACATGGGCGTTGAAGTCCCCCAGGAGAATAACGGAGTCCCCGGGCGGTGCACCGTCCAGTACCCCTCCCAAGGACTCCAAGAAGGCCGGGTACTCTACACTGCTGTTAGGCCCGTAGGCCGTCACAACAATGAGAGACTTGTCCCCCACCCGGAGGCGGAGGGACGCGACCCTCTCATTCACCGGGGAGAACTCCAACACGTGGCGGCTGAGATGGGGGGCAATGAGAATGGCCACCCCAGCTCGCCGCCTCTCCCCGCGGGAAACTCCAGAAAAGTGGAGCGTCCAACCCCTCTCAAGGAGTTGGGTTCCAGAGCCCAAGCTGTGTGTGGAGGTGAGGCCGACTATCTCTAGTCGGTATCGCTCAACCTCCCCCACGAGCTCGGGCTCCTTCCCCCCCAGTGAGGTGACGTTCCACGTCCCAAGAGCCAGATGTTGTGTGTGCGGACTGGGTCGCCGAGGTCTCCGCCTTCGACTGCCGCCCAGTCCTCTCTGCACCGCTTCACCACGGACCCCTCTGCAGGTGGTGGGCCCACAGGAGGGACTGCCCACGTCATCCCTTCGGGCTGAGCCCGGCCGGGCCCCGTGGGCTAAGGCCCGGCCACCAGGCGCTCGCATACGGGCCCCGACCCCAGGCCTGGCTCCAGGGTGGGCCCCCGGCTGCGCCATGCCGGGCGACGTCACTGTTTTCGTGTTAGTGCTGTCCATGGTGTCTTCTGGACTGCTCTTTGTCTGACTCGTCACCTGAGACCTGTCTGCCATGGGAGGCCCTACCAGGGGCATGAAGCCCCAGACAGCATGGCTCCCAGGATCATCCGAGTACTCAAACTCCCCCACCACGTTAAGGTGGCAGTCCAGGGGTGAGAGGAATTTTTATACATATTCTATTCAAAGATTTTTTAGATTTTTTTTTTTTTTTTCAGTAAAAGTAAGTTGTTAGCTTTAAAGAGCTCCAAGTAAGTAGAAAGTACATTTTAAACTTAAGTGAGTTCTTTGAATTGGCTTGCACATGGAGCCATAATAATAATAATAATAAGGGTCAAATAATAGAGAGACAAAATGGTGTTCTATCAAACAGAAAATGAACCTGTACACATCAGAATATCCGTCCCTGTTACCCATTTTGTCATGGCAAAGTTTTACATGTGATTGAACTGCTCCACTGATTAATAATTGAGTTTTTGTTCGACCAAGGAATATGAGTGGTCACAGAATGCACTGGTCCCAGGCTCTAAGAAAAGTGGAAAAGCGGCTTCAAAAAGGAGCAAGTTTGCCCTCAAATTGACTGTTGGTTATGTTTGTGTGTTCGGTTCTATGGTTGTGGCATTAATATTAAAATCATCCCCCCATGACATTTGGTGACTAGAGAAACTAGACATGCATTAGTTATGGTCCTTGGCTTCTCAGGGACAGAACTCATTTAACATGCATGCCAACACGCTTTTCATCAACTGGAAGTGGTTTTCCATCTCCCATGCTTCATTCTGCTCATTGTTGTGCGTGCTCTTCATGTTTGCAGGTGGCGTGCATGCAGTTTATCAACGCACTTGTTACCTCCCCGGATGAGCTGGACTTCAGGCTGCACCTACGAAATGAATTCATACGTTGTGGTCTCAAAAAGATCTTGCCTGTAAGCGAAAACGCACACTGAACTAAACTCTCCCTAACCTCATATTAATATTTGAATGAGTCGTCCACTTCGGAAAAGTATTGTAGGTTTGTTCCAACAAATAATTAATACACCATAGAGGAGCATAAACACAATCTCTCTCTCTGTCTGTGCTGGGATAATAATCTACTACTGGATATTATTATGACATATGACTGCCTTTTTTGCAATGCATTATTCCTTGCGCCTTTTCTCTGCAAATAAATAGTAAGAAAAAGTCCACTATAATTAGAATGAGAAGTGCAGTTTGATGCAGTTTTGCTGTATTTTAATGTTGCTCTGAAATGTCTGAATTGTGCTTCAGCTTTCATAAAACATGTTTGTGTTTCTAAAAGTACTGTTTTTGTGGCTTACCAATTTCACTTTTTACAATTCTGCAGCATCTGGCAACCATTCGGAATGAGGCCCTTGACATTCAGCTAAAGGTGTTTGAGGAGCACAAAGAAGAGGACATGATCGAGTTTTCACATAGGCTGGAAGACATCAAGGGCGAGCTGGAATATCCTTGTCGTGTTTGCAAACATGTGAATTGCCATTATTTAGAAAACTGGAATGAAGATGTTGTGAAAGCTGTTATTGATTCTTTGTAATTATTTCTGCTCAGTTTCAAGATTACCCGATTATTCACTTTTGTCATAAGTATTATGTACTGTAGGAGTCCTTGACTCCTGCACTGATGCTGGGGATGTGTTCAGTATTGTGCTGAGCATGGTGAAGGACAGCTGCGCTGAGCCATATTTTCTCTCCATACTGCAGCATCTCATGCTCATACGCAACGACTATTTTGTCAGGTACAACTCCACAACACACAGGCAGATTGTCTTTTCTATATACAGTGGAAAGTTTACATAACCACATATGTGTCTGAAAATAAAATTTCAGAAATGTAAAATGTACATTTAATTCAGAAAGTTTGGGGACAACAAGAAAATCTTCACTGTTTGTGGTTGATGTCCTGTTGGCTGCAACAAGCCACAACCTACAACTTGCTCCGGGACTGTTTGTAGTCAAGTCAGGTTCTTCCTGAAGTGGAGGAGTTCAAGTATCTTGGGGTGTTGTTGACCAGTGAGGGATGGAGCGTGTGATTGGCACATGGATCAGTGTAGCATCTAGCTACAGATACAAGCTGTTAAGTTTCCGCCGCTGAAACTCGAGTGCTCTCCCTCAGAGAAAGGGTGAGAAGCTCAGTCACACTGGAGGAGCTCAGAGTAGAGCCACTGCTCATCCACATACACTGGATGTGTATGTGGAGAAGGACAGACCGGAGGGACTATTTTTCAGATTTCCTGAGTTTCCCCTAGATTAGATGAAGAAGCAACATGTAAATGGATGGATATTGTGACATTGGGCCAATAGATAATTATGTGTAAAAATAACTGCCTAAATCATTGATCTTTTTTACGTAAACTTCAGTCTCCTCCGTACATGTACAATGTAAAACTGATTCTTCTTTCTTTATTCAAAACTTTTGTGCTGTGATAGGATTTTATCCCTGCTCCACACATTTAGTATTTTTTGTTTTTGTTCTATATAACAACAAGTGGCATTGCATGTTGAAGAAATACATACTCATATTGTCAAGATTGGAGCTAATCTGGTCTGATTTCCATGTGTTGTCCACTGTTCGGCAACTCATTGATACTAGATTTAATTTTGTTGCAATATGGAAATACATTTTAATACTAAATTGTGTATTTTGCACAAGTTAGTGTTAAAATGTATTGTTACATTCTTCCCTTAGACCTCAGTACTTCAAAATAATCGACGAATGTGTGTCTCAAATCGTTCTACACCGAAGCGGTACTGACCCTGACTTTGAATACCGCAAACGCCTAGATGTGGACTTCAGTCACCTGTTGGGTAAGTGTAAAGAAATGTAATAAGACATGATGATTCATGTCTGATAATGCATTATGCTGTTGTTTCACAGAGGTGTGTATAGATAAGGCTCAAATTGAAGAATATGAACATCAAGCTTCAGAATGGGCTCAAAAGGTGAGAGATTTCTAAATATTTTTCACTCCTTGTTCACATTTGTCTCGGTTGGCTATGTTTTTCTACCCAATAAATAAACAAGTCAAGATTGCTTTTATATTACACATTTTATTATTATTATTATTTTTTGCAGTGCATTCAAAAGTTGAACAAAATGTGCCTGCTGTGATTATTCCTGCTTTTTAAATACTTAAAATCAAAGGTAATTCTCTCCCACTGGTAATCTGCCTTATGTCAATTAAACACTTCCTTTTGAATCAAAAGATCCACAGAAAATACACAATACAATACAATACAATTTATTCTTGTATAGCCCTAAATCACAACAGAAGTCATCTTAGAGGACTTAAAAAACCCATTGAAATCACCAACACAGATCAGAGAATCAACAGTTAATACACATAAAGAATAAAGAACACATGTTAAAAAATGTCCATACATGTTGTAGAATGTTAAAGTGTCCTTGATCATCACCACAGTCCTACTAGTTGGACACTAACTGCCCAACAGACCCTCCTGCATCGGCATGGAAAATCTCATAAGAAAACCCAGTGGGAAAAAAGTGAGAAACCTCGGGGAGACCCATAGTTTGAGAAAGGGATCCGCTCCCACGGACGGAGGGGCTATAGATCCAGGACCTAAGCTACAGAACGTGGACCAGTGGCCATGGAACGTGGACAGGTCCGGTACAGAACTGAAGCATGGTCGGGCAGGGCAGTCCGCAGGTGTAGATGGAGGAGGCCAGGTTCAGAGGTCGCGGGGAGCTGATTCCACAGTGAAGGAGCTTGGTAGCTAAATGCTCTGCCGCCGTCAGTGCTTTTTGAAACCTTAGGGACCACCAGACGTCTGGCATTTTGTGAGCGCAGTGCTCGGCTTTGTTGATAAGACATTAACAACCAACAATAAAATCGGCAATATCATTTTTTGGTAGTGCAATATTCAACCTTTCCCCCATTGATCTATTACACACAACAAAGTGGGGATCATCTTCTTTTATTGGCCATAAGAAATGTAAATAATATTAATGGTTATGACATTGTCTATCCATAAACCATCTCCTAAAAATAAATAATTATTACCTCACTAAGCAGTCTAAAGTACACATTTACTTGTACCGCTATAGAAGCCAATTTGAATTACCCATTGTTATACGAGAAACTTTTTTTGATCTCCCAATGAAGAAATTTTCTAAACATATTTAGGGTCAATCGGAATTAGTCGACCAATGAAAATAAGTGAAATGATGATTATCATAGTAATGCAATCTATTCTACCAAAAAATACAGTACAAACAACAGGTTGTCTCTGGGGACCTTACAAAGTTGTCTATTCACCAGCAACGGTTCTGAGATTCAAACAGTTCAAACACAGGAATTGCAATAATAAGAATCACATAGGAGCCATTGGGAGCGGAATAAGCTTTCATCAGTAATATTTGGTTAAAATCTTCCATTTACTTTTAATACAACTTCAGCAACACCTTTTTTTCCAACTGTCTCATATGGTAGCCTATATACTTTCTTTGCCATCTTTGTTTTTTCCTGAAGCTGCTGCCGCTTATTTAAATAACACAATTATTTTTTGGCGTGTGGGTGAGTGTGTTCGAGGTCATCAGTGTTGATGGGTAAAGTCTGAAAACAGCAGGTTCTGGTTTTTGATTAGATTGATTAATTCACTGATTAACATTTTGTATGGAACTTAATGCTTGTATTATTAAATTAATTCTCAAAAGGTTTAAATGCAATCAGTTGATAATGTTAATAATGGTTGTATTAACTTTGATTATTCCAAATTGTCCATTCATTTTGCAAGTTTAAAGTGTGTTCTTATTTATCATTTATTATTTTGTTTGTTCTTTTTAGTTTGATGAGGAGCTTTTAGGCCGACAAGAGGCAAACGCACAAGTGACAAAGTGTGAAGAGAAGATTTCTGAGCTCCAAGCAGAACTGCAAGCTTTTAAATCACAGGTGATTTACTTTTGTTATTCTTTTTATTTTGACAAACATTTTGTCAGTAAAAAAAATTGTTTTATTCAGAATCACTATTGTTTTTTTTTTGCCATTGTAAGTAACAGGTAAAGACACAAACTCAGCTCACAAATTAGGCTAGAAAATTGTAATATATAAATACGCACAATGAATATTTAACAGTGATCAGAGGTATGAGATTATTAAGCGACTATTGTAAAGGGCTGGGTTCGAGTGATGAGCTACGAGCGCTAATAATCATATATAATAGGTTGCATACTAAAATTGTATTTCAATTGGTGGCTGATACAGCTCTATGGGAAAGAAGCAGTCTTTAGACTTTTTTTTTCTACAACAATTCTTGTGTTGGTTTCTCAGATAAATATTTGAAAGTGATTATATTCACAAGGTTAAAAAGGTTCACAAGGCTAATAGTTTGCACACATTCTTTCCAACCATTTCTATACATCTGTATGAGAAATTAACTAGACCATAGTTGACTTGTCCTGTCAAAGAACACGTTTTTTGTTTTGTGTGGACTGGGCCTGCAAACTGGGCATCCAAATCCTGGATGCCTTCTTGGGGAGGTGGATGGATGGATGGATGAGGTTTTCCTGTTACTACTTTCCTACTTACATTGGTTCATTCAGTAAAGGTGTTGGTCGCTCATGTGCCTTTGTGAAATTAGAAAGAAAAATCTTGGCAGGATATTTCTTATTTAAAAAAACACATGAAGATCACTGTAGATATGTTTGTGTGGGGAACTCAATGTTACACTAAATACTTTCTCCTGATGAGAGATTCTGACTTGTTCTCACTGGTACTTTGACATGCCATGGCTGCAGTGCTGACCAAAGCGGACTCAAAGTCTAATGAGAACAGTGACCGGAACTCTTTATTGTCCTTTTCTAATTCTCTGATCTTTATCCCATAAGAGCATGTGTTCCAGAAGCAATTTATTCTGACAACCTGCCTCAGCCTTTCTTCCGGGATACCCTTCAACCCTCCCTCGCCACCCCCAGAGAATCGCTCTTGCGTCTAGGCACCGCAAGATAAACTACCTTGGGCAAATGGACGCAAACTTTTATTTTGCTGATAATTTTTCAATTTGGTTGAGCACACATTGAATGAATACTCAAACAGTACCTTGGCTGAAATGTTGTAAAGGAATGCCTAGGTTAAAACCAGTTTTTGCCCTTGTGATAATGGCATTTGTCAGACCAAGGCACACACAGTGAAACTGAATGTGTAGAAGTGAGTGTCATGTTGACGTTTACAACATGGAAGCATCCACACTTGTTCATTCAGCAAAAGGGGTCGCTCAAGTGGCAGCTGGAGAGCATGGACTCGGAGCTGACCTTTAGTGAATGCCATTAATCTAAAACTGGTGCATGGATCAATAAACCATTTGCTCCATATGATACAATTTACGGAGCTTTGTAGCCTCCACTATAACATTAGATTCTGTTCAAGCTCTGGTAAAAACAAATAATGTTCTTCGCAATCTGTGCCATTTATGAGGCACTGATGGAGCCTGTGGTAGTGGAGTTCGAAAATCACAAATGGAACGCATACCGAGCTACATTCACATTATCCCCATGGCTGAAAATGGTGCTAGTGTTCTATAGTAGATTACAGAAGTCTATGATCCAAAGATTTGTTTACCTGATTGATGGTTTAACCTCGGCTTTAATCATAATGTCCGCATGACACAAAATACTTTAAGGTTAACATCCATCCATTCATCCATTTTCTTCACTTTAATCTATTACTGGGTCTGGGGGGTGGCAGTCAGAGCTGCACCCAGCACACAGAGCACCAGCCCCTCACTGATCCTCCTGCAGGTGGTGAGTCCACAGGAGCCTTTAACTCTCAGCGGGGCTTCAGGCAAAGTGGGGTTAAGTCTTGCCCAAGGACACAAAGACAGCAGGCATCAGTGAGAGTCGGAGGGGAAGGTCTTGTGGAAGTTTTGAAGGGTTAATTTTTTGTATTTACGTGTTTACATTTCATTTGGGTAATCTTAATATCATTTTGGAGAGCATATTATTCCATGATGATTCTTTTTTTGAATAATTTTGTTATTGGTTCAACACAGTTTGTCAGTGAGAGAGAGAGGGCCCCCACGAGCGCGAGAGTCAGAGTGGAAAATTAAAGGAAGAGCTGAACTGTTACTGTCCTGTCATTTGGTTATATTAGCGAGGAAAAGTATGAGATAAGAGCAATGTTTTTTATTATAAATTGTAACCCGCACACCCACAGCCTGAAGAACTGGAGAGCAGCAACAATCAAGGGTTAAAGTATAAATAAACTGTGTTAATATGTTAACAACCCTTAAAATCCCAAGAATTTGCATTTGTTTGGATAGTTTTTCCTACACCTGACATTATGAAGTTGTCAATATTGGATATAAAGATTCTATACATCTTATAACCACCATCTCAATTTCAGTTTTTTTTTTTTCAAGTTTGGTGCTGTTTCAGTCCCGCCTGTCCCATCCGGTCAAGTGTTGCCTTCTTCCCCATGTGATCCCCGGCTCCAGCCTCCTGTCGGGGCAGCAGCGGGGAATGCTCCGCCTCCTCCACCACCACCTCCTCCGCTACCTGGGTGTCCTCCTGCTCCTCCTCCTCCTCCTGGTGTGCCGCCTCCGTTTGGTGCTCCCCCTCCACCCCCTCCCCCAGGGTTTGGAGGGCCTTTCGGCTCTCCCACGCCTCATGTACTGCCTCATGGACTACTCCCCAAAAAGGAATTCAAGCTCGAGACATCCATGAAACGCCTGAACTGGTCCAAGGTAAGTTCTGTGGCCTTCTTTGTCGAGTTGGCTTCCCCGGGCCCTCTAGGGAGTAGATTACAGATGATGTCTTGGTGACCTCTCAAGGCAGTACTTCCTAAGCAGGTTCAACTCGCTTCAGATCCCAGTCTGGTTTAGTTAAATGGGACAGGATATAGGAGAGAACAAGGACTCTGTTGAAAGGAATACAGCCAAAAGCAGATATGAGTAAAAAATTTGGTTTTCTCATTTAACTTTTGACCGGATCTCGAAGACAAACGTTTTCAGAGAGTCAAAATGTGTGCTACAGCTGTCATTGGACAACCTCAATTATTTCCCGTTGCCTTTGCCTCACCCCTTAATTTTGCATCTTCACAAAAGGGATGTCTCAATTATTTTAAAGCTGCGAGGCGTATAGGCCAATAGCCCTTTAAGTGGAGTGATTGGCCCCTCAGTGACTGCAGAGTTTCAACAGTGTTTTTTCCCCCCCTTGTTACGAGAACTGTCTTTAGCGTTAACACTAGATGGTTCCATATTCCCATAAAGTTTGTATCTTTGCTACAGCATACAAAATTGTTTTTATTTGAGAATTCAGGTCAGGTGTTTCTGTTCCCAACTTTGTTCCTGTCGTCTCCTGGTATTGTGCTGCTGATGAAAACTGCAGATGTTGTCTTCAAAATAATCTGCTCAACTTGTTTCTGTGCCAAGACGGTGATAATTGGAAATGCCAGATGATCAGATGCCTTTTGTTGGCCTCCATGGTGCTTTATACAGCTGTTACCCTCCCGAGCACAATATTAATTCACACAGCACAAGTCCTAGTGGTATAATGAACGATTAATAATGTAATCTATACTGGTGTGAAAGAAATGCCTCCATATGCTGTATAGGTATACCTTTGGGCAGCTCTTAAGGGAATGGCTGTCTCGTACCACAACTGTGCAAGACCAATATGCCAATGTTTTTAGCTGACACAAATACTGATACTGCTGAATGATTTAATATGAACAAATCAAAGTTAAAGTTAAATTGCGTCCCGTCTCTGTTTACCTGAATTACACTGACTTTGGGGTTTTGTGTTTCTATACAAAGCCTGTCTATATGGCAGGAGTGTATGAGGAAGAAATGTAGTCCGGCTGGTTAGGTAAGCCAACAAGTTCATGTTGAGTCTGAAATATATAAAAGTGTCAAGAAAGTTTGTTTGAAAGTTGTTTGACAGGCCTTCAAATCTTTTCTTGCCACCATGTCTACTGGATTTCAAAATCTCCTTTCTTCAATAGACATTTTTTATCCTTCCTATTTTCCATTCTCTTGTGGTTGTATGTCTTATTAAAAGTCCACTGTTGTGGGTCAAACTAATCCTATTTTTGTTCAAGCCGGTAAACAAAAAAAAATCTTTACTGTCTGAAGCTCTAGCATTACGCTGAACACTGTCAGTCTGTTCAGGCCTATTTAAGTACAAGTTTTAACCCTTTCTAACCCTTTTCCATTTAAAAGAAATACATGCATTTATTTTTTCTTCTTCTTTTGGATTTACGGCAGGGTGCAAACAACCTTTCGGTGTGCATTTACCGCCACCCTCTGAACTGGAGTGTGACCCAGTATATTTGACTCTGCTTATTCGTTCACATTTATTCATGTATTTTGTAATTAAATATCTTTACTAGATATCAAGCTTTATTAAAAATCTGCCCATCACTTTTTAAGTTGGGCTGCTACCGATCTAACAAACTCTTATCTTGCTGCAGCTCAGAGTAGAGGAGAGTAAAAAGTAAGAACTCTGATTTAAAGATATACTTTCATGACATACCATATACAGTGTATGTATGTTATGAGTGAGTGATGCCATAGATGATTTAATATGGTTTATTATTATTAGTATTAATACATCAGTGTATATCTGTTTTTAGAAACTAAAGTTACCACACGTCTTTTCTCTGTAGATTCGACCTCAGGAAATGTCTGAGAACTGTTTCTGGGTTGTAGCCGATGAAGACCGATATGCAAAGCCAGATCTCCTGACCAAAGTGGCGCTTATTTTTGGTTCCCAAAGAACAGGTAAGCCAACCTGCCCTTTTTTTCTGATTTTTAATTTGTGAGTTTTCTACATCATACGCTACTGCACAATGTTGTTAAAATGTATTTATCAAACCATGCACTATATTTTCTTGCTTCAGTTGTGAAATACTAAGCTGTTTAATTTTGGAGTGCAGTAAACACAACAAAGGGTTACAGGTTAATTTGAATGGAGAAAGCGATGGATTGTGAATGTTCATATTGACGTGAGGTTGTTACAATTATTAAAGATAGAACAGGGCAATGTGATATTATCGCATTGTCCTGTGTGACTATTTGTCCCCTCTCTGATGATTTATTCATATCTGTTTTACTTTCTTGTCTTGTGTCTGACACAGCCAGTTTACATCACTTTGAATTATTCATCCATGTTATCTACGTGTATGATCTATTGTCACAAATGCCCCCATTCTCTGAAGAGGAAAAAAAGAACCTACTTTGGATATATAATTTTCATTCAATATAATTTAGACATACAAAGAATGGCCAAATCTATGATTTTGAAACTCTTTGAAAGTAGAGACTCATTTAGGAACATGGATGTTTCTGAGCTTGCTTTATACATATGTGTATGTATGTATGTATGTATGTATGTATGTATGTATGTATGTATGTATATGTATGTGTGTGTTATGTAGTGTTCCTTTGTGGTGCTGTGCATATCTTTAAAGCAGTGCCAACATGTGGCACTATGTTCCGTCTCACTTAAGAACAACAGCGTGTGGATCATCATTAAGGGACACAGTGTGAAACAGTCTTTGCACAGTTTTTCTCGTTAAATATTAATTTGAATATCCCTTTAGTAGTTTATATTCGTTTGTGGTGTTTGGGGTTCCATAACCCTTGCTACACACATAACAAAGAAAAAAGATCAATGGTTCCAATTAGAAAATGGCTAGAAAAGGGTATAGATATTCTAATGATTTTTTTAGAGAAAAAGATGAGAAAGCTGTCCAAGGCACTCTGATAAAGTACACATCATTTACCTGCTGCAGAATTGGATGTAAAGGTGTCTTGACCGTGCGCTTACATCAGTCTGATACAGGAATATTTTTCTACTTTCATTTAAACAATGTGGTTCTTTTTAACAAGCTGGAAACCCAAATGACAGGCTTATTCTGCTCTCTGGTTGGATAATGCGCTTGAAAGTTGTATACAGTATATACTTTAGTTAAGAAAAGCCCAACTATGATTTTTCCATGTTGTCATCTGGGGACACATTAATTCAAATTGAAAATCGTTCCTATGGTCCCTTTTCGAATAAGTACAGAAAGATTGTTTTAAAGTTTAAAACAAAATGAATGAACACTGCTCAGTTCTGGAACAATTATTACTCCATGCATTTCAATTATTACTCCATGTCCAATTCCTCAAAAAGATGGAATCATATATTGTAAGGCAATTTGTTTAGCTATTTACATATGTGTACATGTATATTTCAATTTAAAACATTTTACATGATACCTTTAAATTGGTGTATGGTTCACAGTGAAAGTATTATTTTTAAAATGCATTCCAGCATCATTCTGCACGTTGGACATTGTCACAATATTGGTGTTGCTGAATGTCATTGAGATGTTGTTCCTTTTTTGCCTGAAGAGAAGCATTGATCCAAACTGGCAATATGTTAGTTAAACTGAGGAAGGACTAACTACTTGATCACATCTGGAGGGTGAGACATTTACACATTGAGGCAAACGCTCTTTACTCTGCTGCTGTCGGGTTGACCACTGACTTAGACACAATAGATCAAATGGAGATGACAAATTTCCTTACAGTGACAACATAGTGTTATCAACTTACTAGATGGTCCACATTTGGGTGGTAGATCCTGAAAAGTCAACAATGTTCCAATAGAAACGTTTTTTGTACTCTTTATGAGAAATGCTATTGGAGGTCTTCATAGAGTTTGCTGGTGGAGGCCTAATAGTGTGGGGTTAACCAAATGTAATCATGAATATCCAGGGTTGAAGGTTATCTCATTGTGTTGTATAATCGCAGATAATGAATTAAGCAAAGCTAATGATTAGGTGCGCTCTGCCTCTGAACTGTTGAGCTTCAATGCCTTCCCTCGACATCTGAGGGCTTTAATTGGACTTTTTGTTGTTGCGGTGCATTATGTAGATGGTGAGACACATATGGGGAGAAAGACTGTCTTCCCCTGCCTGCCAAGTTCAAAAGGAAAAACAAAGTGAATGCGACATAAGCTGAGAACATATTTGCTTACTTGTTAAAGCTTATATTCTGAGCTGTTAAGAGAAATACGTATGACTATGCAATACATCGTTGTTTTGGTCAACTACCATAATTATCGGACTATAAGCCGCTAATTTTTTTCTATATAGCGATGCGACCGATATGTATTTTTATTGTGATAGAGTTGGACTGTTGTCTGAGCAGAGTTCATGGACTTGTTACTTTGACTCTATCAAGTTTTAGTAGCTATAGTAGCGATAGCAGGCTGTTTTTAAAAATAGGCGAGTGGATGAGTACCGTGAGTGCTAACGGTTAAGCTGTTAAACACCTCATCATTAAATCATGCTATTAATCAATGGGTTATATACGGACAAAAATGTGCTATCTTTAAAAAATGTGATGGTGCAACTATATACAAGTGCGCTTAATTGTCCAGAAAGTACTTATTTATTGTGAATTGTATATTAATTTGCATTTTTTTATTTGGAAATGTGATGTTTTTCTTGTTTCTTTTGACTGCATGTATAATTCTTTCAAGCAAATGTTTTATTCTTTTCTCTCTTGTTTGTTTTCTGAATTTCCATAACCCACCTCTTTGCTTTTGCTCTTGGCTTGACTTGCGTGATCTGCTTCAATGTGTTCCAACAGAAAGTAAAGGTTAGTACTGCTTTCACTTTGAAACTGAAAGTCATTCTTCCTTCTTTGTATATAATTTTGAAGTTTTTTACTACGGTACCCAGACAAGTAGTGCAAATAAGCTGTAGTAATAGTCCAATATACAAGAACTCAACGGTAGATTAGTTTAAGTGATGCATCTTTTTCCAGTTTGCTACCAGTGATAATTATTTTTGTTTCAATTTTTTTTTTTTTTTGAGATTGGCTAATGTAAAAAAAAAAAAATTCTTTTTTTCAAACTGATTCTGCTCCATCAATTTATTCATTCAATTCTTTTTGTATACATAATCATACTTCATACTGTATATTTAACAAAAACAACATTATTTCTTAAACCACTACAAACGGAGTGTATAGATTTCAAGAAAAGTAATTGAATAGTTCAAACTAAACTGTCAATATTCTAGAACTACACGGGTTCCAAAGATAAATTTACAGGTTGTAAAACATATTTGGTGATTTGATTTGAGTTGGTCAGAGCTTTGAAATTAGGTGTGACATGGACATATTAATTAACATTTGATGGAGCTGAATGATTACTGATAATTTTCTCATTAGCTACATCCGCGCCATAAGGGAATGCTGTGTCCACAGTTGCAAATGATGTCAAACGGTGATTGAATCTTAAAAGTTCTCAAATGTAAAATTGTATATATGATACTGGAAATGATTATGTTGGTTGCATGACATTGTGAACATGCTTGTCTGATCTCAATGCCTGCTTTGGGCTATCGTGAACTACAGTAAATAATATAATTGTGGTTTGTAATACAACAAATTGGTTATGAAGGTTCTGACCTGAGCTTGATGTAGTGGTGGAGCTAAGGTACAATATAACAAGGCCATGTGGAGATGAACAATTTCAATGATTCAAAATACTGCAAACATTGTCAGTTACCAATGTAAGTAATCTAAGCAAGTAATCTTTATTTATATACCACCTTTCACAGACCGTGACTCTGGTCTGTGAAAGGCGGTATATAAATGAAGATTACTTACTTGGATTAAAGCGGTTTACAATTGTGGCCATTTGTCCTCTCACTCCACGCAGAGATGGGAGCGAGGTCGCCAGTACAGGAGGCGCATGCCAGACCTATTGTACAGTACATGTTTAGTGGTAGGGGAAACCGGAGTAGCCGAAGGAAACCAATGCATAACTTCAAAATCGATCAAACCAACATGTCAATCAAACACTAGTAACTTTTGGGTGGAAAGATTACTACCTTATGTGTGTATGTGTGTGTCGGACCTACTGAGGATACATACTCATAGGCCCCTTATGTAAGTTGGTAGGGTCCATCCATCCATCCATTATCTTCCCCTTAATCCATTTCTGGGTCGGGGGGGGTGGCAGTCAGAGCTGCACCCAGTCACAGAGCACCAGCCCCTCACTGATCCTCCTGCAGGTGGTGAGTCCACAGGAGCTGAGTTCTTTCAGTTGGGGCTTTGGGCAAAGTAGGGTTAAGTGTCTTGCCCAAGGACACAACGACAGCAGTCATCAGTGGGAGTCGTGAAGTAGGTCTTACGGTGGGCTCGAACCCACGACCTTCAGGCCCAAAGGCCAATGCTCTACCAACTGAAGTTGGTAGGGTGTGTAATTCAAAAAAAGGTTCATGGGCATAGTCCTAAAAAAATGAGCAACAGCATGAAAAGGGATGCCCTTTACTTCACCTTCTTTTCAGCAAATAAATAACGACCAATTAGTTGGAGCCCTCAAGGATCACAAAATCTGTCTGCCATTTCACACCAGGACACTGGTATCTGCTAATCATCCATTGGCACACAATACAAAGAAAAACAAACTCAACACATAAATGTTAATTTTGCACTGTACTGTTGTGCATACCACAATAATTCAGAAACAAATTGACCAATATCTTTGACAGCCATTTTAGGATACAATGGATATAGATTAGCAGATTTAACAAAAGTGGAAAACTTAATGTGCTTAACACAGAGACATCACATTACATCATGATCACATTCTTTACTAGTGCTACACAAGCACAATACAAGTCAATTATAAAGACCCGGGTCTTGCTCTTAAAGGTACAGTATGCTCTTACTGGTTTTAATACAGTTATTACAATGTCAATCCAAACCTCTTGTTACTCCTGTTCTTGCATGTAGATCACACATATTCCTCTAGCTCTGATGATGGTTCAGCTGCTGGAGTTTCTGTAGAGACCAAACCAGCTGCTCTTCACTCAAGGGATGCTGATTCTGCTTTCCACTCTCTTATCATCTTAAGATCCATAGTATAAAACATCACACACTTGTTAGATATTAGCTATGTTGGCCTATATTGTTGTATATTTGGTAGACTGATCATTTTTCTCTGCTTTATCTGTTGCTTGTTAATGATGCATGGAAGCAGTCTCCAGGGTGGTGTCCAAGAGACTTTTAGAACAGAGCTACTTTAGACCCAGACTTTTAGAACTCCTCCACATGAAGCTTGAGACGAGGTCTGGATGATCCAATCCACTCATGCTACATCATGTAGGAGACTCAAAAAAAAAGAAAAACAATGAATAGTTTGGGGCTGGTGCTATGTGACTGGGTGGCATCACTGACCCCCCGACCCAGAAATGGAATGCGGGGTAGAAAATGGATGGATGATTAGCTATTGCTGTGTTTGTCATGTCCCAAAACGGGTTTACTTCTCTTTTGGTAACAAACAAAAATACATTGGTTTAAAAATAAAATAAAAATCACTGCTTGACTTTTAAGATCTTTAATTGTCTTTATGTTTTTCATGTTTAATAGAGATTCATCAATGTGAATCGATTAGTTTGGAATAATCATTCTAATTGTTTCATCCATAACAGTTGCCATATGATGCAGATACAGCATGATCACATAAAAGGACTGTCTTTTGACTCTTTCTCTCTTCTTTCCATTCTGAGTTTGAAGAACACCATTAGTCCTATAATGACTTTTCATGGAGCTGCCATTTTTTGTACCATTATGAGAGATCTCATCAAATCCAATCATTAATGGGTATTTCCACGGTTGTTGAAAGATGTTGAAACATGGACATAACGATTGGATGGCTTATTTTCGGCTTGCTATTCCCTATTTTTAATCACCATACACTTTATTATATTATATTTCAATGCACAATTTAGTTCCGGGATTGATTCTAATAATGGATATCTGCTTTGTTTGGTAGGTTTTAACAAAAACCACTGGCCACTTTGTGTAGTTGATGTGCAGCAGATGTTTGTAGATGGAAGATGAGCCGTGGTGTTGGCGAGATATATGCTCTGCAAGTGCACATCAGGAGCCTTGAAGTGATTGTTTTTGGAATTTTGTTATGCAGTTAAGTAAAGTGGCAGAGTTGAGCATCTTTATAAAAATACAATACAATGCTGGTTGAAATACAGTGTATAGGGTGAAATCAAAGAATAGAGGAAGAAAATCACAAGGGAACCCTATGCTAAATGTGCTTTTTTCCTGAATACCTCTATTCGCCCTTTTTTATTTTCTCTTTCTTGCTTGAGCACCACTCATTCTTAAACCAAAAATGGGCTAGTTTGTTAAAAACAAATTTTTTTTTGAGATTTTTTAAAATTTTATGCAGATGGTCATACATGGGGTATTGTTTGGTAGTTTCAACTGACAAAAACAGACACAGATGAGCAGAATAGTGGGAGTAGAATGACTCTTGAGATGGATAAGATAAGATAAGATGTGCTTTATTTATCTCACATAGGAGAAATTTACATGTCACATTTGGCATGGATAGAACACTCAGATTGTGCAAAAGGAGGAAATGTGCAAACATGTTACATGCAGGATATATATGTACAACAAAAGTGACATTATGTACTGTACAACAAAAGTGACAAGTGTCGATTCCTACTCAATCCTTCAAATGACTCAACCTATAGTACAAAGACATGTAAATAATACCCCATACAAGAGTGAAGGAAAGATATACACATTTCTAAACACTTTGATGATTGGTGACATGGCCTTTAGAGGGCACTCATTCATTGAGAATAAATTCACTGCTATATACTGTAGCTTCCCTTAAAGCTATTGTCCTGTGAGGGTTGAACTTTCCAGTGTTAGTTATTTAATATTTTTTAATTCTGTTTTAATTAAATCCATTATTATTTGAGGTAAATAAATTATAGTAATGTGTTCGATTTTGTATCACACATTCTGGTGATGTGTTGTTTTCCACGGTATTTAACGTGAAATTTGTCAAGTGATGAAAGAGCATGCTATAGTGATTTTACATATCAGAGTAACCTGGAAGTTATAGTCTCAGTTTTTCAGGCAAAACAAAATCAGCGTTTTATACAAAATTGCTAGTCCCAACAACAATGATATGACCTAGGTTGCCCTGACCTTTTATAGACCTGATCAGCTGAACTTTGTCTTTCTTTAGTCCAAAGTCTAAGCATGAAATTCACTGTCTACAATATTTTCCCTTGTAATCCATTGGGATATATCAGTCCTCCCTGGCATACTCCCAGCCATAGTTGAGATCTTCTACAGAAGGCTTTGGCCAGGAGAACCTTGCCTTTTATGTTTTTGCCAGCTTTGCATTTATACATTTAGGTTATAGATTTTGATTGGCTGCTATTTCATCAGCATGCTGATATGATTTTTTTTTATGGCTTAAATAAACAATCTTGCTTCAAAAGAGCGGTTAGGGGGGGAAAAAAGCCTAATGAGGTCTGTTAATGTGCTGCCATCGGAATAAAAGCGTCATTCTAATTGTTGCCCTGGGTCATCTAGTCTGAATCACAAGAAGAGGTGGCCCTGCATGGTACACTTTGATTAGCTCACTCCCCGCACAGCCACTCACTTCATTACTCTAATCTCCATCTCTGTCGCGCAGTGGATGCTACTCGGTCACCCACCGCTATGGATGAGAGCCCCAGTCTGTGTGCAAATATACTGCTAGAGCTGTCATGACTTTGCTAGTGTGAACTGCCGCGATGATGATATGGCAGTGAAATGAGAGAGATGGAGTCAAGTTTGAAGTCTTTTTTTTATTCAATATATGTACAGTGGCCTTGGAAAAGTATTTATACTCCATGGACATTTCCCATCATTATGATAGCTATAGAACTCTTGAAAATCTGATTGTGACGACATCCAGACAGTTTGCACCTTCTCAAATACTTTTTATACTTTGTTACATGTCTGCATCCATCCACTTTCCCATCATATAACCCCCTTATCCATTTCCCTGCTGAAGAAAAACAGCTTCACAGCATGATGCTGCCACCACCAGGTAATTTGATCAGAGCTAGTATGTAGTTGATACTTGTAAAAAGTTACTTTTTACAAGTTAAACTCTACATCCATAATTGCTGTGGTTGTCAATAGGACAGACACATGATGATTTGATTGTTTGAAGACTGCTGCCTGTTGCTTCCTTTTTGCAGTCTATGTATACCTAGAAGCTCAGATGCAGGTGGAATTTTATCTTCAACTCTGTCCTGTGTTTTATCCAAAACAGTAACTAATGGTAAAACTGAATTGGGTGCTGCTCTGAATGTCACTTTCATATTGTATATTGTAATTATTTCTCTGTAACCAAAGACTACAGATGGATACTAGCTGTCCAGCTATAATCTGGTGCAGAACATACTTGTCTCTATGAGCTTAATATCTCTACTCTGTCCCTTCAATAGATTATTATTATTATTATCATCATCATTATTTTTATCCTGTTGCCTTGGCTTATATAAAGTGTATTACTGCAGTTAGATCGTCAGGTCTGGTCTTCGTATTTTTCTATCCCTCCTCACTTGGCCATTTTCTTTTTACTAATAGTTTTTTGTCTTTCACTTTCATGTTGGCAAAATGCAGCGATTCCTCTAGAATATTTTCTCTGATTAGACATCCAGATAAGATGCGCTGCCAGTTAGGGCTGGGATAAACGATTATTTTTTAAACGATTAATCTAGCGATTATTTTTTCGATGCATCGATTAATCTAACAATTATTTTTTTCGCTTCAATTCGATTCTCGATTATCTCCCCATTAATTGACTAATATTGATGTATACATGTTGATTTAAATATTTTAATGAAAAAAACATGAATTCCTTCACAAAAAATATGTATTGCTTGCTCTTAAAATTCAAAAATAAGACATTCTTAGAGGTAGCATAAAACCTTAAAGCCTTGAAAACACAGCTTACTGAAAAAAGTGCATCTTATCATTCTTGAAACAAACATTTGATGCTTAGCATTCAATAAAAATATGAAAAAGTTCAGCCAAATACTTGTGTAGAGCAACTAAAAGAAAACAGTAACCAATGTAAACTTGAAGGCTTTAAGCTAAACAAAGAGTGCTTTTCCAGTAAAAACAGTGGGAGCCATCAGCCCGTCATGGCGTCCTTCCTGAACTAACAGAGTTTAACATTTAAGTTGAAGACATAGGCCTATATTACTGAAGTCCATTAATTAAAGTGCATCTCTTAAATTCTTCATTCATATAAAAATAACAGTCAAAACTCTGCCTCTCACCTTTTTCTTAAACTCAAAATTCAAAAATAAAATTCAAGTAAGAGTGTACAAGAGAAAAACAATGCATTGTGTAGCAAATAAAAAGGTCAACCAGTCATCCTTTCTTTTAGAGTTACTGAAAGAATACAGTAGAAGTCATCTCAGAGGACTTAAAACAACATTGAAGTCACCAACACAGATCAGAGAATCAATCATCAACAGTTAAACACATTAAGGATATTGAACACATGTTGAAAAATGTCCATATACGGCGGGCATGACAGTGAATAATACATGTAGGGGCTATTACGGGCGCCAATATTCCGTTTGATACAAAGAAAGACAGACTAGTTGTAAGAGTGTAGAGTTGGCACAGGACGCGTCATCAGCCTACGTCAGCAGCCGCGGACTGCTATGAAAACATTAGCTTTGTGGTTTCACAGGCGCAGTTGACTGCTTAAACTAAACTTTGCACGAAACTTTGACTCTTAAAACCCACATGTGACCAAACCGAACCATCAACATCTCGCCTCAAATTGCATTAAAAGTGACATTTGTGTTTGAATTCGTTCGTATTTTAACTTTTAAAGAAATTCACGGTCCGCCCTCTTGGTTTGCTTCGGCTGCCGTGAGACGCGCATGCGCAGGTTTGCATTACATCATAAACAGCTGAGGCTGTGCATCTCTTCAAGGCAGTGTATCTCAGCGTTACACCGGCTTGCACTTCTCTAACACGGCACTCGCATTGCTACCGCTCGCCGCCATCTTTGTTTTGTGTGTGACGCACCGACGCGCATATTATACGTCAGTGTATTTTTTGCGTCGACGTCACCGATTACGTCGACGCGTTGTCCCAGCCCTACTGCCAGTCAGTAGAAGGGAGGAGCGGTACGCGCCATAGTGGGAGTGGATGTGAGGTGTTACATGCTTGTCTCCGAGGCCAGCCTGTCATGTACGCCATCAGTCATGCTCTTTCAATCGCAGTTTTATTTCATCTGCCATTCCCTTTAGTGCTTTGACGGTTCGATTCACTGATATTGCCTTGTGGGAAGTGCTTGTGTGAGGGAGCACATGTCCAGCTGACACATTTTGGATATTTTTTGACTGCATTCAAACTCGAAACTTGTGAAGAGCTAGTTTAAAGAAACACGTCACACAACAGGCTGTCAGTTTTAAATGCTTACAGAATTTTCCTTTTCAGGAAAGTTTGAAGGGTTGATAAATAGTATTATTGGATGAAACATGTTTTGACAATGAAATTTCACTCAAAGCACAATCATTGCCCTCTCTTTACATCAGAACAAGTGATAATGACATGGTGCAGAGCTATGTTAGAAAGCCCTAACTTTAAAGTGCTTGGATGTGTTCAACAGCCTGAAATGAAGGTGCACAGCAACCCTTTCAACTGAAAAGGTTTGTTTTGCAGCTTTAGTGTCTTGCTGCCTCAGCCTGTGATGAACACCCACTCTCATTTAGCTTTTTCCTGATAGTTACTGTGCTTTTTAGCTCTTGTTCTATTAGATGTTGTGTGTTTGATGCTTTCATCTGGTATGTCTGCCTTTACTATCTGTAGTTACATGTTGTTGTGTCAATTGTCACTTATATAAATTAGAGATAAGCCAATATTGATTACCAATATCGGATTATCAATAAAAAAGTGCACTGTTTTTGGCTTAGTGTGCCATCTGCGAGGCTGTGGTGACTTGTTTTGTCATGGTAATGGAAAGTTACCAGAGGGTCCAGAGGAGATGTACACAGACACAAGGAGAACACGCAAAATAGAGAAAAGCAAAAGCACAAACCACTCCTGCCAGTAATAATTATGTTAAATTAAATAAACAGACACAACAAGCATTAATATTGTACCCTTTTTTCCAGTCCGCGTGACACATTCAAAACCTACATTAAAAAACCTCCATGTGGTAAAGATAATTGTCTTTGACATATACAAAGAGTTTAAATTGTCGACATTTTCAGAACAACCATGTTCAACATGTTCTAAAGATATCACATATGAAAGTTTTAGGAAATATGATTAAAAAAAGACAACATTTTCTGGAGAGAGGGAGTGAAACAGATGCATGACAGAGCTGTTACTGGCACTCATTTTTTTTTTTTTTTAAATGTCAGAATCAAGTTTAAAACATAGTACGATTGTTTAGAGCAGCAGGAAGTAGTACAAGAAGAATACTTCTCCTCTTGTCCACTACTTGGACACAGTTGCAGCTCTTTGAATAACCACTCATCTTTTGACAACTCTAATACCTATGGAAGCTCTATGGGGGAGTGTATATTTGGTATTTCTATCTCATCGCTAACTCCTGTATGATTGAGATTGATGCAGAGCTCCTAGGTATTATGTGGGCATGAATCGTGGATTATGTGTTCTGGCTAATCATGCTTAGTGTTTACATGCACGGTTGTAATAAATGAGATTCTGCAAAGCTATACGTAATTATAAGTGGATCAATATGATGGCTTAATGCAGCAAGTGAGGTGTTTGTCAATAAGATAAATGTAGCATGGCTTTGAAAACGTATGCACACTATCATGGTTTGCAGTAACAGATTTGCAAGTATACCATATAAAATAGAAGTAGGGATGTGTTAGTAAGATATTTTTTCTGTTCTATTTGCATTAGATTTCACTTGTAGCAAATACATGGGTTCATTGTTTTTTACAATGTCCTACCTTTACTTTTTGAACAGTCGGTCAGTGTATTGTTGTGCCCTATATTACAAAACACATTGTGCTCAAGATGGTTCATAAACAGATAAATTGTTCTCATATCTAGGAGACATACAGAAACTACAAAAACTTTTTGATTAACCGAAGGTGCATTTACTACGTGCAAAAATAATAAAAAGTTTCATTTCTTATCTGTGGTCTTTTGTTCTTTTTCCTATCCTTTTGTTTCCAACAAATTGAAAAGAGTGTGAGGAGAGTGCACCACCGGAGGAGCCACGTAAGTCTGAGGAATGTGAATGTGTTTTGTGCATTTGATCCTCGTGTTTGTGGTCCTTTCTAACAGCCCCGTTTCTGCAGGGGTGCCCAGTCTGCCTCCCGCCACTTTTTAATTAGATACACGATATCTACGGGAAGCCCAAGTTGACCACAGAAATGTATTACCTATGTATTATCTCTCATCTCCACCTCCTCCTCATTCCTCACCATTCGGTTCTTCTCTTACTACACCGACACGGCATAATTACAGCACCAGACAATTACCAGCTTCCTCCCGGGATACACATATTGCTCTCTTAATATAGTGTGTTTAATAATTGACTCCAACTATCAACTGATCTTTGTAAGTGTTGCTCAAGAGCTTTGTGGTTCCGGTCCTTTTGTGTATCTACATTTGTGTGTGTTTATTTTCATTAGCCAGCGACCAATGCATATGTACCTTCACCTAATTCATTAGTCCATGTAACGGCTACTCTATTGACCAGGCTTCAACAGTGTTAGTGGACCCAGCTGTGATCCTGTTTCTGTGCTTGTTGCTATTGTCACTGCGCTCCTGGTTTGCACTTGTGTTGTATTAATGTCTTGAGTAAAAGCTGATTAACTTACATTTCCGTAAAACACTTGATACAAATGTATATGGTTTACGCATATTAAAAATTCATTTCATGGAGGCATTTGTCTCTGCCTTGACAAAAAACAACAACAAAACAACCTGTGGATATATTCTGATTTATCTAATTACATTCAACATGTATTTTCCAGTCAGCCAGCAAGTGTTTTATGTACTGTTACATGTACAGAATGTATAATGCACTCTTCGTGGTCTAATAAAGTCATAAAAATTACATTCTAACTTTGGTTGCCAGAATCTTCCTGTATGTGTAGCGTGTAAGAACTGTTTACTGACAATCCACCTGCTGGAGTTCAGCTAGAAATGTATAAAAAGTACATTGTGTGCTTACTTATTTTTGTATCTGCTTTCTTTCAAACAAATGTTTGCTAGATTTCACCAAACAAACACAACCCAAATGAGAGTCTCATTCTGCTCTCCAAATTGACGATCGTAGAATAACTCCACTTGAGGTCTTCAAAGTTCAAATATGATTTGCACATTTTTCAAACATTACATTCTATCCATTTTAGTTTTAGTATTTGTTTTGATGATTATGACAAGGCCTGTCACAGTAAAACAGTTTTACAGTAGATATTGCTCCTGAAAATGATTGCAATGAATTTCAATATAATATTGAAAATACTTTATACTACTGAGATAAATACACCAATCACAGCAAAAGCGGAAAAAATGAAGATTAATCTGTACAATTAAGTACTTTTTAGACATTTTTCACCAATGATGAATATTGAGGTGTAAAGTAAGTTCGTGATATTCTATGAAAGGCCTAAATATGACTTTTCTTTCTTCCAGTAAAACCAGAAGAGGACAACCTCGAAGACAAAAAATCCATCAAAAAGAGAATCAAACAACTCAAGGTGTTGGATCCAAAGATAGCACAGAATCTGTGTAAGTAAGAAATGTGTTCAATAAAGATAAAACAGCTATTGTTTTGTCCAGTTTTATAAAGAAAAAAAAACATCACATAACATATCCTTTTGGGGCCTTTTTAGCATTAATTGTAAATATGCAGCCCCTGGGATCATTTGGCAGACTGATCTGCAGCTGTGCAGATTTGAGATTTCTCAGCAAACTTGGGTTGTTGGACAAAACAAAGCCGTTTGAAATGAATTCTGCTTCCACTGTTTACCACCTCTCCAAATTCAGAAAAATGTTGGGAGTGGTCAAACACTACATTTATTACGATTTCAGAACTTCTTTTATAATGACAAGTCTGTTACACGTCTTGATAATTATAGCCAACTGTAAGATGAGATAAAATACTCCTATTGTCTCCCATAGGAGACATAGATAAGAGCACCATCAGAGACCTCAAGGACCTTAAAAAACAGTTAGTAACAGGAGATCAAAACAGAACAACCTTGTACCTGAAAAAAAAGTACTCTTATGTTGCACTTGCCCTAAACCTCGAGTGCAGTGTTTTATTGCACATTTTAATAATGTGTTTGTAGTACTGACTATAAATGTATGGCTTTTTTTCCCCCCTTAAAAGTCTGTGCTTTATATTATGTTAATTTAAAGAACACAAGAAAGGTGTTAATGTCGTTATTAACAATCAAGTACAAGAACAAATATGTAAATCATTTTTGTTTCGCACCAGTTTAGCCGCTGTTGCCCTGACCTTGTTGCCATAGCAAGATGCCCACAATGCCATCAAGCCCTCTTAAGCTCAACTTCTTGTTCTATATTACAGAGCTAATTAACAATCTCCCACATCCATTAAATGAAGGACCATAAAAAACATGATTGCGTGCATTATCCCTGTGATTTTCCTCTGATTTGCTGGTTTCAGTCCCTCACCCACATTCACTGAGGCCAGCTCTTGATACGACCATTTAGGAAGAAAATACATTAATGAGGACCTTGCAAACCACTCCCGAATGTTAGCACCCCATTGGCTTGTATCAAGTGGAGCTCTGACCTTTGTTTTATGCATTAAAACAAAGTGGGTTTAATCAGGCCAGTAACGGTGATGAATCATTAAGCATAAAGCACAGGGGAAAAATGTGTTCAATTAGTAAAAACTGGCATTAGAATGTGGCAATTATTGTTTTTATGTTGACTCTATGTTACCAAATGCACCCATGTCCTTATGAAATGGTAATGCTATTTTTAACTGTTTTAAGCCTTTATGTACTTAAGGCATGTTTTATTTATTCATGTATTTATTTGGATGGGGGCAGTGTGTATTGATGAACAGGAGCTGTACATACATCGGATTATACCCTTATTTTGGAAAATAATTTTCATCTCTTCTCCCACAGTCACTCACAAGCACACATTCATTCAATCCTCGACCATTATACACATTTTAGTGGTGGTCATTGTTGTGGAATTTCATACCCCAATAAAGGAAAAAGCTGGAAAGGTATTTGTCTTAAATCAAAGATGTAAACACATTTATTTTACACATATATATGCGGAGAGCCGACATACAGTCTTGCATCGTGAGCTCTGCCGGGGCACAGCTACTGTGCCAATACATATACTCAGGAGGCGCACAGCAGGGCCCCAAAACCGTGACGTCACATGGGCTGAGATTATCATGCAAACATCACCTTTTGTTTTAGCGCAAGACACAGGAAGGCCTTTGTCTTAGGTGTGAAAGGAGCAGCCAGCAGAGGCCTTTGCAAACTCAGCATGGCGTCAGACGGCCGTCTCTGCATTGATTAAAGGCCCAGTCGTCCGTGTATTTGCTGCGACTGGTTCTAATTTAATTACTCTAAAAACTGTCATTACATCATGTTTTTAGAATGGGTGACATCAGTGTAGTAATGTTAGTGGCTTTTTCACTGTAATTTTAGGACAGTTGATAAACAAGGACTCTAAAAGTGCTCAATGAACTAATAAACGATCATAAAACGCATCACAAATAATCACAGTACATTAAAACTATTGAAGATGCCTTTGTTGAGTAGTCTTTGAACATTGTAGAAGCCTCTCACATTTTCAGAAAGAATGATTCAGATTTGAAATGCTGCCTCTCCCCTAAGTTTATTCTCATTATATTCTTAATACATTACTTTTACATTTCTAGCTTATCCTACAGTTGCTGACAGTACCATAATAATACATTTCTTTATAGCCATATTCCTTGGATCATTCCGAATGCCTTATAAAGAAATCCGACGGATGATTGTGGAAGTGGACGAGGAGCAGCTCACTGAGCCTATGATCCAGGTACAATAATATAAAATGTACTCATTACACATGCATTACATTTGGTCTTGTACTGAAATCATAAACGAAGGACACAGCTGAGCCCCATCAGCTCAATGAGAAGTTTCACAATATGACACTTTGATCGTGACATATTGTGATCTTTAGATTACAACAGTAGAGACTGAATGTCAAGGAAGTTTCTACAGTAGGTCCTAGTGCTGTTTCTAATCACTTTTTATGCGTACAAAGATTCATGTTTTTGTTTTGTTTTCAGAATCTTGTGAAGCACTTGCCAGAGCAGGAGCAGCTCAATGCTTTAGCCAAGTTTAAGGATGAATACTCGAGCTTATCAGAGCCAGAGCAGTTTGGAGTTGTTGTGAGTACTACACACACATACAACAAAATCACTTGTGAACATTACATTCATATTTAATGAAAAGCACAAAATAGCGGCTAAATTAACAGCTATTTACCTTTTGGTGCATCTGTTGATATCAATACAAATCTTAGCCTTGATCAAATTATATTTGAAATGTCATGATCATTGTAAAATTGAACAGCCATTTTTTATGATCTTTATTGAAAATGATTTTGGATATTATTTTCTGAAAAGTTTTTCTTGATGTGTTCTTGTTCTCATTTTATGATTGAATTATTACTATAGACTAGTAATAATAATGAAAATATTCAGTCACGATTAATTACTTTAATGTCAGTTAATTTACAATATTGCATATTTTTCCCTTGTCTAAAAAGGATAGGAAGAAGCAAAAATCTTTTATTAATCTAATCCCCTCCAAAAAATGTGGATTATTATGTGTATTTGGATTGTCTATAGGCTTCTCAATCTCTGCTGTCGTTAATTCTTTTTTTACAGTGAATATAACTATGTACTGTATATACCGGGTAACTTAAATTTTATAATAAAGACTACTCTTTTGATTGTTTCCATTAAAGTCAAAGAGTTTTTTTTTTTTTTTATAGTGTATGTGACAATCACAAAATAACTCTAGGTCCAACGTTACACCCGACAAGTCACGCTCTTCAGCCCAATATATAAAACTTGCTCACGGTCTTTGACATTATATCAACTCCACACTCCCTCTGCACTTGTATTGAAACATTTGAAGGAGGCGTTAAAACCGTTATTAAAGCTTTCAACTGACATCACTACTCAATCCTTTTTTTAACAGAAAAACATTTTTTGTCCCTGATCAGAGACAATGGGCCTTAACAAGAACTGTTTAAAGGTTGGTTTATTTGGAATTATTCATCAGCGCTGTAAATTAATTTGTTTTTGGAACTGCCTAGCAACCTAGTCATTGACTCATACAAAAGCTCCTCTTTGTAAATCCACTTGTTCTCTCAAAGCCCTGGTGTGTATATTCTCTGTGATTGAAAACACAGTGAGTGGCTGATGAAGGGAAGTGTAACACAAATGCCGTGTTCAGCTGCTGTGTGTAGTTCATCAGGGAGTCATGGAACAATACGGGCCCAATGTGAGAGTCGTAGTTAGCGTGGGCCAGAGGACACGGTCTGCTTTCACCTGTAACGGAAAGGCTGAGGTTCAAAGGGAATTATTAATTTCGCATTGTGCAAAGCCACTATTTTATCTATGCTTTTATCTATATCCTTCAGCCTTAGAGTATTTGAACTTCACTTTGTGGGTCTCTGAACTGTGTGTTGTAAAGAAATAGAAATATTCCACACTATAGAAAAAGAAAATGTTTAGTTACAACAGCCTGGTATTGTTTGGGTCGTACTCTTAAAAGTAGAGGTTGTCAAAATGTCTTTCATTTTTATTAAGAGTATAATGGTGACGATTCTATTAAATACTCAAGTATTGATTTAATGTCCAGAGGTTCAGGTCCTTGCTGCGTTACTAGACAACCTCCACTTTCAGGCACTGTAGCACTGTATTTTGCAGAGACTTGTTACTCTACTCACTTATAGTGGACAGTCTGATTTTTCTTTATCTTCATGTCATGTCTTTAGTGCGGATAAATGTAGAAACTGAGGTTAATTTTCAATGTCTGCAGTAAATATAAAAAGTGTTTTTCTCTCTCAACTGTCAGTAAATCTAGTTTTAGTTCAGCTTTTGGTCATATTTGTTAAGTATTACTGGTGAGAAATCCATAGTTTCAGTGTAAAACTTGGAGGATGGTAGCACACTGACAGATGCTGCATAAGACGAGGGACAGCGATTCCTTCTCCTCTCACACCCAGTAGAAGTAGTTACTGAAATGTTTAAATGTGAGAATTAATCCGAAGCAGAAGTGCACAAGATTTGTTTCTATAGATTTGTTTTACCAAGACAAAGCTGAAGCAACGCCCCTCAAGAATGTCTGTGTCTGTCTATGCAGTGTATGGTTCAAAAACAGATTCAGCTATAACTTTTATTTACTATTTGAAGGACTGTCATATATTTTTAATTTTTTTTAAGATAATTGATTATATATCTGACCTAAATATTGTTTTAGATCCCGAAAGGACAGTGAAAATTGGGATTTGTTTTTATTCATTTGATTGAAAATACTTTTGAACACATTTTCCTTTAATTCTGCAAACATCATAGAATATTCTGAAGCCTATAACTTATCACATGTTTTAAGTCTATGTAAGGTTCAAAAAATGATAATTGATTTCTAACCTCTTTACATCCACCCGCCCACCGGCGGGCGATTTTACCCCTAACCCTAACCCTAACCCTAAACTACATCAGACTTTGCATTCCAAAGATATAACACATAATGTGGGCACAAAATAAGTCACTTTGGAAAAAGTTTTTTACCTTTGGGCTTGTGCTGCATAAATAAATCAGCTCTTCTCCCGGCTTCCTATGGCTCTTTCTCTCTGGAACAGTCCATTTAACAATAATATCCACTTGTATTTCCCAAAGTATGATCCATTCTGGAGAAATAATCCAAAAATGTGCATTTATCTGTAGCGAAAAAAAAGAAGAAAAAGAGCACAGAGGCTGTTCTTTAATTGTTTATGGACTTTTAGCTTTGTTTTTCACCCAAACATCTGGTATCCTCGTGTTCAGCTACTCCTTATCTTTCAAATGACATCTTCCATGAATCTCTACAAACTATTTTGGGTCTGCAAAATCTCCCGTGAGTTGGACAAGCGTTTTATGCATGGGGTCACTTCACATTTGTTGTCATTAGACTGGTTTGCATATACTTCCTGGCGGAAAAATTGACATGTCCGTGTAGCCAATGAGGAAAGCTTTCTATTACTGTGTTGGGTTGTCTCAGTAGAAGGCTGCGTAATGGCCTGGAGACAGGCGCTGACGGAGCAGCAATGATTTTACACTCATACAAAATTAACTTTGAAAAAATGTTTAAAAAAATCACATAGATCAAAAATAAAAAATATGGTTTTTATGATAATGAAATGTCAGTAAAGCAATTTGGCACAGCTTGATGAAAAAGAGAAACTGCATAAAAACTAGAAGTCTGAAACTTTAGACAGTTGTCAACAACACAATGAACATAGGGTTTGAATATTGTGAACTTAGAATTAAGTATATGCGTTTTTTAGGGCCTTTTTAGAAATTGAAAATTTTAGGCGAGGCTAAAAAAATAGTTTTTTTACCCATACCTCAAAGGATGCAGAGTGAAATAGGAATGACAAACATTATTTTAATATATATTTACATAAACTAGAAGGCTCTAGCTTTAACATGATGCATCATACAAGCATGTGAGATGTAAGATGTGTTTTTAAATAAGCAAAGACATTTGGGTATGCCCAACTTTTGTGCACGAGCCAAAATGAGGCGGATGTTAAGAGGCTAAACTAATTGTCTACCATTAACTAATTGATCAGTTGCGATTAATTGATTAACTTTTACAGCCCCAGTGAAGAACAATAGTGAAGATGCAGTTAAATTACAAAAGCGTTACATCAATGTGGCCATAGAGAATGGTCCTTATTATCTACAGTAAAAACATGACATCTCAGCAACACAATGTTAAATATGTTTTGTAGTTTTTACCTGTTCACCAGCTAGCTAGACATAGGTAGGTTATAAATGTTTTTCGATCTGGACATGTGCTTTTTTTTTTTTCTATGTGTGCATTGAAATAATATATTTGGACAATATTTTTCATTGTCCAAATAAATACATGTATTCATTTTTTAAAGTGAAAAATGTATTCATTCACCTTGGTGTTTATCTGCACGTTTGCCTCGTATATTTCTGTTTCTGACTTCCTCAATGTAGTCATTTGATGACATTACAGTAGCTACAGTATAATTAAACCCTTGATGGAGAACATCAAAACCATAAGGCCAGCTGTTGTTTGAAAGACACAATTCAGACCTGGAAATACCCATCACATAAAGCCACGCACACATAAATCAACTCTGTCCAAGCCCACGGCCCAGTGCAATATTTTCCAATTTTCTCTAATTGGGTGTGAGTGGTAATCCAAGGCAGCCTATTGTATATTCCTCCCCTTCTGCGGCCTGCCCTATATGGACACTAACTCCACAATTAACTCGCGAGACCTGGATCCCAAATCAAATCAATGCCACGATCTATGACGTCCAGCCTAGCAACGCTCTTTAACGTGCCAAATAGATAAATGTCTTTGAAATGGGATCGCTACTGTGTACATGTTTATCATATTTCACTTTGACTGTGTTCAAAGGCTATTTCATTATCAGCTTTCTTGAAACAAACTCAGACAGTGCAGAGACCTGAAAACTTACGTCATTGTTCTCCCTGGTTCTAGTCAGGACTCGAGCTGCAACGTTTTGGATGAACTGCGGCTGAGAATAAGAATGCGACTGTTGTTAATGAAATACAATGTCCCTATTCATAATCTATAGCGCTTATTTCACAAATATATGTGGCATTTTTAAATGTGCTGTGAGTTAATAATTAACTTTTTATATCTTCAGTTGATATTTGTCATGATCATATCAGTGTCAAGTTATTTTAGTCCCTCCTTTTGTTGTGATCCATTTCCCTGCTGTCAGACAGATTTTGAAGATGAGTATCATCTGTACTTACCCTGTCAGGACATGTCCAGAAGCAAAGTCGATGTTACCCTGAAACCTGTTTTTTAGATATTGCTTTCCCCGTTTTGCTCTTAAAGTCAGTGACTCTGAGTGGCAAGACACAATTCTTGTCTTTTCCTTATTTTTATTTTTTTATCTCCTTTTTCAGATGAGTAACGTGAAGCGTCTGCGACCGCGCCTCAGCCACATCCTTTTCCGGCTTCAGTTTGAGGAGCAGGTCGCCAACCTCCGCCCGGACATCCTGTCTGTCAGCTCGGCCTGTGATGAGGTCAGGAAGAGCCCTGCGTTTGGACGGCTTCTGGAGTTGGTACTGTTGCTGGGCAATTACATGAACGCAGGCTCCAGGAATGCCCAGTCTTATGGGTTTGACCTCAGTTCACTTTGCAAGGTGAGAGGAGTGTCGCAGACCCCGCCAACCTTTGTGCGGTCTATGACTTTGTCTCTTTAGCAATTTTCTTACGCTTTTTTCTGTATTCACATGTTTCTACCAAACACACTGCACTTCCGCACTACTGACATTTATATGCAGCCTCATGATCTTGTGAGAAAAATGCCAAAAACTCCACAATATGGTGGAGAGATGGATCTGCTCACCATATTGGCCTCTGCTATCTGACAGATATACTAGGAAAGAAAGGTGTGTCCATTTATAGTATGACTGACATCTGTGTTAGCTGCAGGTTTTATCTACTGAATAAAGGAGGACTGTTTTAAGCTTAGCCCTCAATGCCTCCTTGATGTGGATGGGAAGATGATTCCACCTTATAGGTGCTTGGTAGCTAAACACTCTGGCCTCTTTGTGTACTTTTTGACGCTCTAGAAACCACCATAAGTCAGGGGTTTTGCGAGGGCAGTGCTCGGTTTGGTTGATACGATACTAATACTGTATGTCTTGAAGGTAGAACTGGGCCGTACCATTTATGACTTTTTTTGTCAAAAGAAATATTTTAAGCTTATATTATTTTTAATGTTTGCATTAGATTGTCTTATGTTTTTATCCTTGTGAGTTAGTAAAAGCCAGATGGAAGGCTATATCCGCACAACCGCATTATTTTCCCTCCAATATGTATTCTTTTTGTGTGCATGTTAAAGCCTCGTTCCTTTGTGGTAAAATGGCAGGCATTTTTTATCGCATTAAATCCGTGTTGACAGAGAGGAAAGTGTACTTGTGGAACTGGGGCTCTCTCAGCGCTTACAGTACATTACAGCTGATGGGTTTCCGTGCAGTTTCCATCGTAACAACCTCTGCAGCCATTAATCACTGCCACCTCTGTGCCCTGTTCGACTGTGGTGCTGATGTGCACATCAACTCGCCACGTGCACATACAGAACACTCATTATTTACATATGGGAATATTAGCTGCGTCAAGGGCATGGTTACATAAGTAATAAGGTATTGTTTAACTTTGCCTATGGCTTGTACACCTGCCTTTTTATTTTATATTGGACTTCAATGGCATAGATGCAGGGTTTGATTTAATGTCACAGATAGGAAACTGTGAGGAAGACATCACCTTCTGCCTGCCTCTCAGTTTGACAACTTAATTCCAAGGCACACTCCACGGCACAGGAAAATTGTGCCCAACCCCTCACACACACACACACACACACAAAAAAAGCAAAATGTTTACATTGTCAACTATGATTACCATCCATCTAAATTCAGAGTAAAACCTTTTGTGAGAAAACACTTGGAGCTTTTGAAAATATGGCAAAACAGAAATGAAAAGCGAGATGAGAATGTTTGATTAGGGGAGATAATACAAACATGATTAAACTCTGCGGGGCTGAGTGCACTGCTGTCTACCAATAGATCACCTAGAGAGATATGCCGCCACGCACTCAACGGGAGATGTGTTTGGCGAGAATACTGAGGCACATCTTGGAATTAGACTGTAATAGTGCACAGATGGAAATTTATCTGACAAATTGAAAAATTGCTGCGCGAGAGGAAGATGGGTACCCAGCACAAAAGTGGTCATCACAGTCTGGATGTGTCAGAACCGAGCGAATAAAAGGGAGAATCAACTGTGGTACACTCAGTCACTCAGCATTTTAAAGCCCATGTATAAAGCATAAGGGCATGTGCTCCACTGGAATTAAAAACAAATACCTTTTTAAATCTTGTCCATTTGTGGAGAAACACAATACAACATGGTAGAACTTAAGCTATTTAGTATTGGGCAATTTGTGTTTTTTTTTTATCATCCATCCATTCCATACATTTCAAAGTATGATTTTAGCGTTCTATTTTCATGGAATAACGTAACCTACTTGACAGCACTAATTAACAACCCAAAGTACGATATGACTAAGAGATGCAGTTTTTCTTTCAACACACTTTCAACTCCTAGAATTCTGAAACTACTAAAACTTGCAGAGCTGCTAATTTAACATCTATCATTCAAACCAATGGCAATATGATGAGAAGTTTTACATTCATTCACTTTTAATAAGTGAATGAATGAACTGGTAAAATATAAGGGTCTACATTTAAGTCATATTTTAAGGGTACAATTTACACATGGCATGATTAATTTAAATTATGTTTTAGCTCAAAGACACAAAGTCAGCTGACCAGAAGACTACGCTCCTCCACTTCCTGGCTCAAGTTTGCGAGGAGGAATTCCCAGATGTGATTAAATTCGTTGATGACCTGGAGCATGTGGACCGCGCCAGCAGAGGTAAAGCACGATTTTGTAAGAGTTCACTCCAAATGCATTTTATTTTCAGACGACTTGTGATTGCACCGACAATAATTGTTCAGAAAAAAATCATTATGGTATAATGTGGATACATTGAACATCTTGTTCTGAGCCTGACAACCCATTTAAGCTCTGAATTGACTTGCTGTACAGTTGTTAAGCAGAAAATATACAAGTATGACACGTTTTCCTTTGTTATCGACCCATGTTCTCTCTCAGGATATTGCTGTTTATGATTTCCATTCAAAACACATAATTAAATCCTATAGAGGTCCAACACTTTTGTTGTCAGACTATGTTCCGTTTTCTAAACTTCTTTGTAAGTTATGATGTCTATTCAACAGTAGATAGACATTGATTAATATGCTGCTAATGGTATGGCACAAACAGTCACCGATTTGTTTCTAATGGCTGTGGACTTTGCTCATAGATAGACATTTTAGATACTAACACATACATTTGGAGATGTGGAGGGGATTGGCTCAAAAATGAGTGTTCATTCTTAATCATTGTTTATTGCAGGGGTGTCAAACTCAACCCTTTTCTTAGGTTAGGACTCACTTGAGGGAATGGGTGGCCTGTTGTGGTGCTTGGTTAGAACTAACCAGCCCTTTGTTGACAGGTTTGACACCCCTTACTGCTCAGTGCTTTGTTATGAAGAACAAAAAGTTGAGTCCAATTTCAGCATCCTGATGCCATTTCCTAAAAATCATAGAACAATTCGAAAAGGCACCATTTTGGTGGCCAGGATCAACCATGGATCTGTAATAATAACTGGATAGGGTATTACTAGCTTACAGCTGTCCCACCCAAGTGCGCAGGGGGCGCCTGTGGTACTGCAAACTAAATTCACGTGGGCTACCCAGAAAAAAGTCCCATAGAACTCAATGTAAACTAAAACAGCTCGACCTCAGCTGACAGAGAACCTACAGCTTTCATAAAGATCAGTTTTTTGGGGATTTTAGTGTCCCTTGTCATCCTGAACTTTTTTTCTTCATAAATCCTTCGGTTTTCTTTAAATCCATACTTTACTGCTACACATTCTGTTCCATTCCTTCCCGCTCTGACTCCGCTCTGCTGCTGCTCTGATCAGCAGCGCTGATTGGTCAAAGCGCAGCCGAGCCCCTCTGTGCTCGTGCATGAGTGCCACACACTTGTATTTGGCGCAACGCATTATGAGAGCTCGTCCACTGCGCAGAACCGGGAGGACCAGACGATGCCCAAATATAGGCGAATTCAACTAATCTCCCGCTTTCCGTGAAGTCCCATGCGCTACTGAGCACAAGCCTTTCATTTGAATAGGACGCCATCTTGGATCACCGGGGCTTGGGATCAATGTATCAAATACTTCAACCAAAGTCTCAACAACACAAAAAGCTGGGCCAGACCTTTTTCATGCTTTGTTTCATAAACTCACACTGAAGGCTATGAGGGTGTGCACACACTCCGAAGCAGTAAACCAGCTCTCACTGAAGACTGCGTGAGGGACATAAGGCAGAGCGGGTCAGGGGTGTGTGGATGTCTGGTTCTGTTGCTGCAAAATATATTGATGTATGAGAGTCTATGAGAGTGCTCAATATCTATCGGCTACAGAAACAAGTACATGCATGTATGGAAGTACTGTATGTCTAACTTGGATATGGAGGCCAAAATATGTGATAATGGCTTAGGACTGTCAACTGATTTGTTTAATCTGATTAATCGAACATCGGAATTATGGAAATGTTTGGACAAAATGAAACTGACTTTAAGCTGGGGAATTTTGGAAAAATGTCTTGTTTGAAACTTTCTTCAGAAATAATAGGAATTATGGATATTAATGACTGTCGGATGTTTTAATTTCCAGTTAGTTGTCCATGTGAAATATTTTCAACAGATTTGTAAGAACAAGTCCCCATAATATCCTCAAAACTTACTTCACTCGTCCACTGGCTCAAATATGTTGTCTTCTATAATTCCTGCTTAGTGCCAATAGAGGGGGGGGTCTCAATGTTTATTTTAGACAAGATAACAATTTCAAACTTACTTCAAGCTCCCAATGAAGAGCCAACCATCAATTTTTGAAATCCCTTGTTTATTCCCATTAATTCCTATAGAAAGACTAGAAAATTCCCAGAAATGTTCTATCCTAGCCATGATTATGCCTTTTTCATTCGAGTTAACCCATGCTTGACAGCCCTGGTTAAAATAGAATAGAAAAAAGTGTATTGTGTCTTTAGGGAAATTTGTAATGGGCAATGTGCAACAATAATGTCATCACCAAATTACATTTAGAATGATAATAATAACTAGACTCTAGAAAGAAACTTTAAATACATTAAGGTACAACAAGTAGAAGCTACTGGTGTTGAAAAAGTACTTCAGACTTTGTCTTTAGTGTTCAATAATTGAATAGATGCTGGGAAAAGCTTGCATCGGTTAGATCTAAAATCGTTGCCCAATGTTAAGACCGTGTGGACAGGGTCTCTGGTGATCTGCGTCCTGTTTGACCACAGCTTTCCACCACAGTGATTCATAGTCCTTGTTTCCGATTGTTTTTGTTGCACATTTGTGGCCCTGGAACAGCTTGCTTTCCATCTGAACAGTCAGGGATCCGCACCATGCTGACATGCTAAAGCGGATGACGCATGTATAAAATTATGAAAATATGATTAATACTAAACTACTTCTAAAACCAGACTGTCATAACATGTTTGCTTTCATGCTGATTCGACACACTGTGCAGTATGTGGGAGGAAAAGGAAAACACAGTAAAATGCTAGAAATATGTGTGTCTTAATTGTTTGGACTACCCCTGGAGAGCTCCTGTGGCGTTTGTTAGGGCTTTGATAATCTGCGTATAATGGTGCTCCAGTGAAGGCTTTTTTTTTTCTCTCTTATGAAAGCAAGTGTCCTCGAGCCTCTGGCATAATGTGCAGCTGAGATGAAATGAGATTCTTTAAATTCTCTCAAGCTATGACCATGTTTGGTCCTTCACACTTTGAAGCATTATACACTTTTAGGTGCACACATCTTGCCACTTCAATATCTCTCCTTGTATGTTTTTGAAGGTCACAAATGAGACTTAAATGTATGTGGACCTAGATTAAAACAATTATTAGCCAATATAGTTGCGTGCAAATCTAATTCACATTCGAGTAAGTAAGCAATCTATATCAATGAAGACTTCTTTCTTATTTCCTGAAGAAAGCAGTATGAGTGTCTCACGGTTAAAGTGCAACACAGCAGCGCCAGTGAGGCTGACTTTTTTTTTTGAAAGTCAGGGGTTGGTCCCCATGTTTAGTCCTGACTGGGCACAAGCAGAAAGCCAGTCTCTGCTCCTTCGTGTCAGAGTTGGTTCATTTGGCACTAAGATATAACAGATGTACTTATACACAAACAGAAGTGGTTTAAAGTAACATAAATTCCAAATTATAAGCTGCAGATTTTTCCCCTCACTTTGAGTGCTGCGGCTTATAGTAAGGTGCGGCTTAATTATTTTTTATTTTCTGTATAGCGCCAAAAACATTTTGGCAAGTAACAGCAGACCAACAGAATTGATGAGTTGTTCAGAAAAATGTGAACTACTCATCAATGTAAATGTATGATTTGCCAATAAAGCAGATTAAATTAAAGTCCACACTTATAATATATTTGTGTAAAAATTAGTGCCGGCACTTTAACGCGTTAATTAAGATGAATTAATTACACAAAAATTAGCGTGTTAAAAAAATTGACACATTTTAATTGTCATCTCCCTTTTTTCACCGCGGAACGTTTCTCATTAGGTGAGTTTCAGACGAACCGATTGTACTGGAGCACCGCGCGACTTCCAAGCTTGTTCTCCGCAAACCTAACCTGTCTCCGAACCCCCCAATGACAGAAGTGACTCTGAGAAACACTGTTCCCTCTGACTCTGCAAAGTGTCTAAAGTTTGTGTTTGGTGCGGTACTACACTCGCACGCTGCCTCACAGCTGCACTCGCTTCGCTACGGTTTCCGCACTGGTTCGTCGCACAGTGAACATGAACAAAGAAGCTGATGTGAACGCGTTGGTTCACAGTAACATCAGCTACAGATGGGAAGTATATTTCTAAATATAGCAAAAATTACACTGGTCTGTAAATATTTTTGTTGCTTAAGCTTATGTATTCAGTCATACTCAATGGTAATAGATTTTTTTTTTTTTTATCGAGTCCCAGCCCTAGTAAATATCTCGTATAATAAAGTGTTTTGGTTCTTTGTATTGACATGAAAGAGAAAGGAGCATCAATAGTTGCTCCTTAACCTTCTGCTTCAAACTGAACAGCAGCTCAGTGGCTCACTTCTTACTCTTATCACTCCCAATAATAAGAAGATATGATGAACGTTTTTGGGCTACATTTTTCAATTTTACATTGGGATAGGTGGGGCTTACAATCAGGTGCAGGTTATAGCTGTAGTTCAGGGTCCTATTAAATTGCATGATATATCAATCAGTCTTTTGTACTACCCCCTCTTTAACACGGTAAATTTGTGTAAGTATGATATTATAAAATTATCAATTTTTAATTGATAATTTGTGCATTACCAAGTTTGAGCTACATTTTTCAACATTACAAAGTGGTTCAGGTGCAGCTTATAATCAGGTGTTGCTTATAGTCTGGAAAATACATTCCTTTGTGCCACAGGAAGCCAATTAGAGATCCGGGAACTGGACTAAAATAAGGAAGTAAGTAATTCATATTTATTTACAAAGTGCCTTTAACAAACCAGAGTCACAAAGCGCTTTACGATTGAGGACATTTGTCATTCACTCCACACAGGCCCATTGTACATTATTTCAGTAGTAGGGGAAACCTACGCGACACAGGGAGAACATAAAAACTCCACTCAGTTTTTTGAACCTAGGACCTTCTTGCTGAGAAGTGAGAGTGCTATCCCCTCAGCCACCGTGCCGCCAATATGATTGTACTTCCTGGTTCTAGTCAGGACTCGAGCTGCAGAATATAGTTCCTGGAGACAATTTTTCTCTCTTGTTCAATATCTAGATGGAAAGGTAATAGGACATCACATTGAGGAATTGGAGAGTTTTGTGCCTTTTTATCATCCAAGATCTATCCGTTCTCCCACTGTGAATTACACTCTTAAATTTTCAGATGCATTATCCAAGGTTAAGTTGACACTTGGCTTTTTGAGGGACTTTCAATATTGTGAAATGGATTCCATGTACGAGATGTTGAAGATTAAAAAGTGCCTTGAACCTTGAAAGCAACTTATTAAATGAATTTTAGGCAAATTAATACCAATTTTGTCTTTTGATTAGTTGACTTGTGTGCCCTTCAGGAGTTGCTGATGGGGAAAGCAAGCTAAACAACACACTACTCTCAACTTGCTTTTGTCCTGTGGCCAGATTAAACCTAGGAATTCAAAAAAACGGGAATGACCTTCTTTCTCTTCCTTATTTTTTTCATGAAACAGCTTTCACATCTAAAATATATATGCCCTGCTTTTTCATTTTACTCCTGTAGTTCCCGTTGCTTGCCCCATCAGTCTAGTCTCTCCTTCTGACAGGCCATGGTCTCTAATGGCACATCGCCTTTTTTCATTTGCTTAATTTCCATACATCACAAGAATGATCTATGGAGGAGCAGTGTGCGTTGCTTGGCCTGGCTGTTTGCATGCATACTAGTGTGCTCCTGTAAGTCTCATTTATAGCCCAGCAGGTAGGCAGAGTAATAAAGCGAAGTCAATGGGGACTTTGACCTCTACAAATGTACCCATTATTATTCCTGGGGAAATGTCTTGTATCTCTTTTCAACTGCTCTGGACCACTGGGGCAGTCCGGGCCCCACTGCTCATATAAAGTCTTCCTTAAACAGAAAGATGGATAACCAAGGCCAAAGAGCAGCCAATAACAAACTGACAATTTGATAAATGGCACCTTCTTTTTCTAATAAACTTAAAAGCCGAACCCCTCCTCCTCTTTCACCATTAGCCCCTTATCAGTGGTATTTAATAATTCCTCTTAACAGCCTCTCCCATTCTACCCACACCTCATACAACAGATTAAAATGCTTGGATATTAACACAGCTTTCCAACACAGTAAAATACAGTGACAGAGAGAAAATATGTCTACGAATAGGATTTTGAATTCCTTATACTGATTATATGTATGTTTTACATCTTGGAAAGGGGAAATATGAACCAAGTCTAACCTGGGTCTAAACCAGGACTATATCAGGACTGAACCGGGTCCAAACAAAGACTGAACAAGGTCTAAAAAAATTAATAAAATAAAAAATCTTAATTTCAACAAAGAAAACTTTGCTAGAACCATTTATCAAAAATTAAAACATAAAAGGACAGAGTTAATCTTTTGAGGTGATATGCATGCCAACAGATATTAGATACAAGGAAGAAAAACGTGTCTTAAATTTCGGCTTATGGTGTTGAATTAAATCACCTATATTTAAAACCATCCTGTTAGACATACAGTGGGACGAGAAATGGCTCAGTTGTTGCCTTAATATTTGTGATAATATACTTGCTCAAGTCTTGAAGTCTGTTCCTTTAATATCTTTAGCATGCTTAGCGGCATTGAAGTCCTGGCTTTCTTCCTCTTTAAAATGGATGACGGTGGATCAAGGAAAGTTTTGAAACTACTTAAAATAAGCAGCTTATGCCTTTTTGTCAAGCACAGTATAATCAGGGTAATTTCAGCTATGTAATATTCAGTGGCTTGCTCAATGTGTCAACCGTAGCTAAATAGAAGCAAACCAGGCTTTAAATCGTCACCTCTACGGGACAAAAATGTGTGCTATGAGTTTTTAGGGGAAATGGTACACAAATCTCAGAAAATGACATGATTTATTTGCCAGCGGGCATGTTTTTGTTGCATTATTGTAATTACTTGCCGAGCTATAGGCATAAAAGGCAAACAAATACAATAATCAAAGCTTTGGGTATGTTTGTATTGATTTTCTCTTGTATTTTCTTCTCCGAGCGTCATTTATTTGCAAATACATACATTCATGCATAGGTGGACTTTGGAGACCTATTTGAAGACCTTGTTGTCAAAATGTTGTTTCTCCACAGAGGCCTCAAAATAACAATGCATGTGATTGAGTGTGCAATTGACTAGTACTTTTGTGGAGAGTTTTGTGAATCTGCCTTCTCTGAGCTTGTGTGGGTGTGTGTCAGTATCTGCAGAGAATCTGGAGAAGAGCCTGAGGCAGATGGAGCGGCAGCTGCTACAACTGGAGAGAGACCTAGAGACGTTATCGTCCCCCGATGACCCCAGCGATATGTTCTTCACCAAAATGACAATATCCTTTAATACAGGCACACAACACAGCCACTTATTTATGTGCACTTATATATATATACTGTATATATACAGTATAGTAGTAATTTACATTTTTCTATGCATGCCTTAGTCTATTTTTTAAATCTTTTATAACTTGCTTGCATAGAGAGCCAAAACATTTTCCTAGTGTGTGACTTCCTGTTACATACAATGGCAATGACTATAATTCTAATTCTGATGTTTCATAGATAATAGACAAGGATAAAATCACAACAGCAGTCATCTCGGAGGACTTTACAAAGTTGGCATTTCTCCAACAACGGATCAGAGAATCAAACAGGGGTGGGTGATATGGGCAAAAATAAATATCTCAATATTTTTTTCCCAACTCTCGATAACGATAGTGTCACGATATCTTTAAAATCAAACATTTTTACCCAAATCGATCTGCAATGTTTTGCTTGCCAAGGCATCTATAGATAGAGACAGTATAGATCAAAATAGCATATGTAAAAAATTAAAAAAAAAATGACGATATTGCAAAAAAGTATATCGTCAAAGTCACTTTTGCGTTATTATTGTCTACGATATATATTGCCCACCCCTAGTTGGAACACAGGAAAAGCAATAATAACAAACACATAGGAGTCATTGGTCCATAGGGAGCGGGATGACCCATGTCCATAAACGTCCCGGATCATCACTGTCCTTAGTGAATTGTGCAAATTTATCTCCAATAAATTGTTACCTCGGTGAAAATGGCTGAGATGTAAAAAAGAAGTTTTCGTTGTTCTCGTGAAGAAGAGTAATGGAAAACGGTGGTTACATAGATTGGAAATTATCATTCCCAATTTATGTAACCATCTGTAAGGCCTGCATGTTGCATGTTCATTCATATTGTCATTCAGCCTAATTAAATGGATGCAAAATATTAACATGTAGATAATTAACAAAACACATGTATTCAACTTTTATTCAACCTTTTTATTCCTCTGTGTTATTTTATGTTTGAAATGCTTGATTTTCTCACGTTAATTTGCTTTTCCACTTCATGGCTATACTATAATAATATTGAATTCAAATTGAATGTGTCATACATATTGAACTATTCTCATTAGGCTTGTGATTGAAAATTCTGGCTGTTGTGTCAACTTTTGGCTCCTCAAATGTACTATTGTCTCTGTCTAGTCCCCTACCGTTCCCACTCCATCACAGTAGACTGGATTGAAGCACACATCCCTACTTCAATGACAAAACCAAGCTGTTATTGTTAATTACACAACGCTACACACACTTCACTGGCACCTGTCCACTGTGATTGGCATGGCATCATTCTTGTATCATCCTGATTTTCTCTGACAACCTGACTGCTCAGTTTTTGTCGAAGAAAAGTTTTGAGTTCAGTAATGCAGTGTGTGCCCACAGCCCCTCGGCCCTGCCTTCATGTACTTTTGATCAATTGCCGGGGGGCTGGGCCACTGAAGTCTCGGGCTGTTGTAGTGAGCCCCAAACTTGCAACACAGAAACGTTCACTGAGAATGGATTTGACAGCTGTCTTGCAATTTTCCACGGCTGCTGGTTCTTTATCAAAAAGCCCCATGTTATAATTAAAACATTTGAGGAAACTTAAGTGAACTATACATTGATCACTTTCCGCTGACATAGAATGGGCAAACAAAATAAAGCCTCACATATTTCTTGTTTTGTATTAAACACTTTTGCCTATAACTGGAAGCTGTAAAGATGAATATGATTCTTTTCTTGTTGTGTAGATTTGTTCGCGCTCTCAAGGTTGGAATGTTTTTTTTTATATGCTAACCTATTCTGCAAACATACAATAATGTAAATTGTATAACTATGGCAATAATCTTTGACTAGTTTGCATAAGAGTGTGGAAGCAAACATTTTTAAAGTTTCAATCACAATGATGATGTAGCCAAAAATGTTTCGCAATGCCCCTCTATGGCTCTTAAATGTTGTTATAATGTGGGGAGAATTAAATGAACTGCAAGCTGTAAAGAGAGCGGCAGAAGAAGTGAGTAGTGGCAGAGGACTGAAGAGACATTTGGTCCACAGTGATACTTATCAGCACGCTTTTCTTTGGGATTGCCCAGCCTTGACTCGTGTCTCTTTCCTCTGGTGCTGCCGCCACTGTGGCCTGGACGGACTGACAAGTCAATTTGGAACACTGTCGAAGGAACTACTTTTACGAGGATATTTGTGTTCTTCACCACAGGCTATTATACTGCTGTTTATGAAAATCCTGCTGGAGTTTAGTTCATGCTTTACTGATTGACGAGACATAAAGAATAATCGGCATGAAATAGTAATGATTGTTTTGGGTGTACCAGAACCAGAAATAGTAGAGGCCTATATTGTGTAGCAACATACACCGCGAGTATTACCAGATCTCTCAAAAATCCATCTCAACTTTCTTCAATCTCAATTATAGACATGTGCATTGAAAGTGAGAGAAGCCAATTATGGGATACCGCGTTGGACATTGTTTGGGGAGAAAGAAAAAAAAGACCCAGGAACAGACGGCATGTGTCTTTACCGCTCTTATTTTGCTTTTCAGAATGGTTGGCTTAAATACAGTGGTTGTTGCTCCTGCTGTTGTGCAAATGTAAATACAATGAGAGATTACAAGTGACAATTGAGATTGATCAAGGAGTTTTTTTCTTTTCTTTTTCTTTTAGTCTAATACAAACATTACAGTAGACACTGACAAAAGCCTTCACAAGCTTCACCCTCTTCAGGCAGCTGTATTTACCATACTGCTGAAAGACAGGATGAAGCCACATGTGTATGACCTCATGTTCCCCTTGACAGTCACTTCACAGCTTCTGCTCGGTAGCGCGGGAGCAGTATGCCAAGCTGGTGATCATGCACAGCAACATGGAGTCACTCTATCAAAATCTCCTTGAGTTCTTCGCTGTCGACCCCAAGAAGACGTCTGTGGAAGAGCTGTTCACGGATCTGTCCAACTTCCGCTCCATGTTTTCTGTGAGTACACAAGAATAACTACGAAAAAACAACACAACATGCTTATATCCCACTGTGTAATTGCTGCATCAACGGGATTATGGGCACAGGCCAATGGGCGATATAGATAATTACAGCTAATTAGCCCCTTGAATTCGTACTGTGGACCCCCATTTAACATTTACTACAATCACATAGGTTTTGTTTTCCTTCTTGGTCATTAGATTGTGTTTAGATTATGCTGTGGCCTAAATAATAAAAAAAGACCGTGTTTGCGCATTTTTGGTGGCTTTTTGATGTTGTCATTGCTCTTTTGAGAATATGGCAACCATGTATAGCCATGATGAAATCCCTATAACTATGTTCAAGTAATAATTGAGTGATGTCCAACAGTTTTTTTTTTTGCCTTTTGTATGTATTGAGTTATTTCAAACTTGCACACATACATTTCAAAACTGTTAATTTTCAAAAGATTAAATATGTGGTAAACAGTAGGAATGAGGAGCACACAACACTAGTGCTAAACACAACTCAAACCACACACACATACAGACAAGACACAGGCCCAAACGCTCTCTGACTGTAGTTATTCACGCTGTGCTGATCCCTTCTTTGAAAAGGACTATTGCACTTCCAATATCATCAAATATACACTTTTTATAATTATTGAGAAATGTAATGTTTGCACTGCTCTTTACTTTGAATCAAGGGGGAAAAAGCTAAACAGCTTTTTTTTTCTGACAGGCATAAACATGACTAGGAGCATCACCTGCCTTCAGACTGCTGAAAAGGCTAACGGTGTTCATGTTGTTTAATATTTTGGGAGTTAAGTTTTCTCTGAGGTTTCATTTCTGGGGTTAATGGCACGCTTTAGCAACCCGCCGCCAAACTAGACACGTATACATAATACGTGATGGTATTTTGTGCAATACGTAAATGCATGTCTATGTCGGTCTTTATTTACTTCATTTCCCAAGACTGGGTAAAAAGAATTTCTGGAAGTAAAATCTTTTGGACATTTTCAACAGCAGTTAATGACTATGCCAGTGAAAGGCTGAGAGGCCAAGTGTTTTAAAAGACTAACATTATATGGTGAAAACTCCCTTGCTGGCTATTTACTCCCCTGTGTTAGGTCAAGGTGTAAGCTGCTTCACCTCAGCAATTTGTCCAAATGGGCTCAGCGTACAGTACAGACCTATCCACGAAAAGCCAAGGCTAGGTCAGGCAACATAGGCACAAAGTAAATCTCCACAGCTAAACCTCGGGGTCAATTCTTTGTCAGCGTTTACTCTGCTCTGCTAAGGCCCATGTTAATAGCCCAAGTGCTCTCTCAAGGAGTGAATATAACCATGCGTTCAATGTGTGTAACCTGCGCTTGTTTGCTTATGTGTCTATGGGATTTGATGTTGACAGTTTTTATAAGGAAGAGCTGCTTAGCCATTTCATACACAAGGACCCACACTGGCACATACACACATGGAGCGTGCTCAGTCACCCGTAGAAAGGAGACTCAGGGCGAGGCCGCACATCTGACAGGAATCCAATTGAGCGTGTCTAATGGCGGACATCCAGGAGAGGAGGAGGGGGAAGCAGACCTGAAGTGATGAAGGAGAGCGGAGGGCAATTTCCTCTGAGACCAGGCCACACCACTCCCCCAGCTCTTTCCGTGCACACATGCCCATTGCTGTAGTCCTATATTACACTAAAGGGATGCTCCGTCACAACATGAAATCACATGACACTATTTCTGTCACCTTGTTCTTTCTGTGCCTCAGCAGTTTGATTTCAATTATCGGCTTCCTAAGTTATGGGGGAGCCTATATGAAGCATTTTTCGGATGTATATAGTATAAATAGTGCATAGCACCATGTCGTTAATACAGTATATGCTTTTGATATTTGCAATTGTTATTGCAAATAACAATTGCAATAACAGTTTTGGTTCTTTGATTGAACCAAAACTGTACCCAAAATCAAGCAGACTTATTTTACTTCCAAACCTTCATTGTGCGTACCATTGTTTCAGATTAATTTAAATAATGTATTATGGAAGTATGTGGCCGCCAGGTCTGCTAAAGAGGCTGATTGGACATAACACTGTATTGAAACATTAAGTCAGTATGACATCCAATAAGTTACCGTCAGTGTGTATTTTAACAAGCCTGTATATGGAATTTTCTGCTCTAATTATTTTTTACCTTCAGTGATTCTATTTTAAATGGCTCCGCTTGTGCTATTGACCAGATATTGACTCGTCATTGTTTTCCCGGGAACCTGCCTGCAGTCAAGAGCCCGGCTTTAAAGAAGATGTCTAAAGGGGGGGAAAAATTACATCTCCTCTGCTGTGCAAAACCCTAGCTCAGACACCATTCACCTGCTACGTGGTTTTGAGATGAACCAAAGAGCTCTTGGGTGGTGGACGGGTTTTAAGATTTTGTTTTATTATTAGAGTACCGAAGTCTCCCTAGTGTCTAATCATTTTAGCTGGTAGTGTCAAGTATTGCTGTGATTTTGGTCGTGGGTCAACAGGCAAATGTTTTGTTTTTTGTTTTGTTTTTTCAGTTTGAGAAGCCATCTTAGATTGGGTGGGGCTGGTACATGGATCTATTATAATAACTGGATAGGGTATTACTAGCTTGTAGCTGAATAACTCATGTGCTCGGGGGATTCTCGCGGTACTGCAGACTATACCAGACAAAATTCACGTGGGCTGCCCAGAAATTTTCCCCATAGGACTCAATGCATATTAAAACAGCTCAACCTCAGCTGACAGATTGGATTTTGTGGGGATTTTAGTGTCCCTTGTCATCCTGGACTTTTTTTCTTCTTAAATCCTTTGGTTTTCTTTAAATCCACACTTTAGTGCCACAAACTCTGCCCGTCTTGCTCTCGCTCTAACTCCCGCTCTGATAAACTGCTCTGATTGGTCAGAGCGCGGCCGAGCCCCTCTGTGCACGTGCATGAGACCCGGTGTGAGACCCACACACGTGTATTTGGTGCAACACATTATGGGACATCATCCACTGGAGGACCAGACGATGCCCAAATACAGGCGGGTTTCCCATAGATCTTTGCGAGTTCCAGGCGACTTCCGCTAATCTTTCAGCCCCCATGCCGTCACAAAGCGCCACTGAGCACAACCATTCATTTGAATAGGGCGCCATCTTGGATCGCCGGGGCTTGGGCTGGCAGCATCACATGGGTCACTAAATGTTTATTATAGGCCCAAATTGATCACACATCAAATACATGAAGTAATACATGGAGCATTACATAAATCAAAGCAAACTAGAGCTGAAACAACTAATCGATTTAATCGATTAAAAGCGATTATCAAAATAGTTGTCAACTAATTTAGTCATTGATTAGTTGCTAAATAACTTTTATTTTGCCGTAAGCGGCTCATTTCGTGCATATTTTAACTCTGCGGTGACCAAATGGTGGCAGTAATGAGCCACCGGAGGTTTTACAGCAGGAGAAGTAGCGAATAGCCAATAGCTGGCCTCCTTTTATGTCACATGCTTCGCGCACAGCTTCTCTTCAGCATACAGCAAGATGGCGGAGGCAAGCGGCAGTGGAGTAAGCTCGAGAAAGAAAAGGAAAAAAGCAGAAGACAAACCTAATCGAACGAAGTCATCCAAAGTGTGGGAGCACTTTACTTTGAACCTTCTAAAAAGAAGAGTAACCTGTAAACTCTGCGCTACTGACTTGGCCTGACACGGGAGTACTACGTCTCTGCGCGAGCACCTTAAACCATCTCTCTGCAGTACTGACTGTTTGCAAAAGATGGCGCCACACTCACTGTTTTAGGCATAAAGTTGATCTTTCAACTAATTTGCACAAAGATGTAAAAAAAAAAAAAAAAACATTTATCCAGTTTATCAACTTAAATAAGCCTTGTTCGGGATTTTAAACTACTTCAGAAGCCCTAAGGATTTTCATGGTGAAAACATTATTGGAAATCTCCTTGTGAAATTTGCTAGAGTATGTAACGGTCAGTGTTTTGTTTTGATGGTCGACATTGAGTTCAACAAAGGATTACAAAGACATAATAAACAGCTCCAGATATGTTTTTGATGTGGATATGAATATGTAAAATGGTTAAAATCTCTAAAAAGTCTATGTTGAATGATGAAGGCCCTTTGTTAACAATTTACTTGGAAAAAAATTGGCAAAACTAAAATATAAGTACATAAACCGATTAATAGATTAGTCGTAAAAATGATCGCATGATTAATCGATTATCAAAATAATCGTTAGTTGCAGCCCTAAAGCAAACATTATTTTACTTTTGTGTTTGAACATTTCAACTACCTGGTACATTATTGGGGGAAAACTGATATAACTTGTTACATTGGACTATATTCTTGACTCTTTGTAAATACAACCATTTTGATCAAAAGAAGACATTTTGAAGTCAAAAAAATTATTTTACCTAAGATTCTGGTCTTAATTTAATGCTCATTATTTACTTCATTAATGCCACAAGGTATTTTAATTGGGAGTAACATAGGATAAAATTATTGTTTTTGTCTTGTCTACCAGTTTAAATGATGAGGAAGAGGGGAAGTGGTGGTTTGTTTGATGAATGCATTTCATTCTGTTTCTGTGTATTGATCTAGATGTCAGTCACGTAAACACTCTATTAAATCACATACAGACAGTCTGGCTGCTGTTATTGAGCGGTTGACACCATTGTATGTGTTTAACAGCACTTTGGCACTGAGATTAGACACTTGCACTGGTTTGACATCCAGTAGATGCATATCACTCTGCCCACACAGAGAGCTTCCATGAAAAACAATACATACAATGATGAATGATTGCCAATCTCATTGAAGCTGACGGTGAGCTTTTCTTAATATAAGCAGTGGCTGCTCTGTCTTTATTATTCAAGTCAAATTAGATTTTACAAGATGAGACAAATGGAAATCCCCCAACGTCTACATTTTGTAAGGTTCCAGCCTTGTTCCAAAATCAATCAAATGTTGTAAAACATCACAGGCTAAAAGTGGACTCACCTGAGGAAATGTGTGGAGTCTAGTGTGCTCCTCCTCAGGTTGGAATTAAACTCTGCCCTTTGAGGACCGGTTGGACACCCCTGATGTATATGCTATTGTTTTGCTGACAACTCACCTGCACGTCAGGTGTTCTTCTCCTTACTGAGGGACTTCGGATTTAAATTATTTCATTTCATTTTCATTTCATTTTCAACCCCTTTTTCCATTTCGGGGTCGGGGGGGTGGCAATGAGAGCTGCCACCCATGTAAATTATTCTAAGGCTAACTTCCGTTACAAAGCATTAAATGAAAGAAAAATATGTTCGAATTGTATATGGTCTCTTTTTAGATAAAATCTATAGTACTTCAACATTACTCTGAGAAGTGCAGTATTTAACTAATAAAGCCTTTATGAAGGAGAGGAGTGGCCAAAAAGACACCTCTGCTGAGGAAAAGGCCCACTCAGAGACAATAGGATTAAACAATAGGACTGCTTGGACTCAGATTGTGAGGAAACCATAAACTGCTCATCAATTCAAAAATTCCCATCCATAGAGTGAAGCATGGTTTGTGGCAGCATAATGCAATGGAGATATTTTTCAGCAATAGCGAGAGTATTCAGAAAGAAGATTAATTCTGCCATGTACAAACACACACTGGATTAAAACCTGTCTCGGAGCACTGTGGACCCTCGGACTGGAGAATCAAATCACGATCCAACAGGACAGTGAAGCATACAGTTGAAATAACTCATGAGTAGCTTCATGAACAAGTCTGTGAAGGTCCTCAAGAGGCCTAGCGTGAGCCCAGACTTGAGTCCAAATGTGTATTTCTGGAAAAACCTGAAAAGAGTTTTGCATCAACACGCTGCATCTAACCTTTCAGGTCTGTTAAGGATTTACAGAGAAGAGTTGGAAAAAGTTAAGGTATACCAATGTTGTAGCATCCTTCCCTCAAACACCGCAACCGCAAATGTGCCGCGACAAAGTATTCAATAAATCTTGAGCATAATGTACATGATGACGTGATTTTACGGTTTCGTTTTCAATAAAATGGTAATAAATTCAAAGCTTATTTTTTTCACTTTGCAAGTAGAAAATGTTTTACACTCACTTAATATCAGCACCAAAATGTAAGAAGTAAATTACAATTGGAGGCAGTTGAAAGTTAACCCATTTTGTTTTTAGATGGAATTTGAATTTGAAGCTAAAGATAATGTCTGTTCTACTAATGTAAAACTATTCACTAATTCACTACTCATTTTGTTTCAAATTGCCTCAATAGCTAGACGTTTTAAAAGGTATTGCAACATCACCAATTTAAAGAAATGTGTAGGGCAAGTGCAAATCCTGCAAAAAGCCGTGTAAGATAATGTACAGTAAACACATAAAAAACAAGCTGATTCTATAGTTAGACGATTGAGGCTTGTATGTTTGACCTCCCATTAGTCGTGTGTGTGATGATTTCCTTTTCTTCAAGTGTCTTTTCCTGACTATTTTTTTCTGTCGTCCCAACACAGCAAGCCCTGAAAGAGAACATGAAACAGAGAGAATTTGAGGAGAAGCAGAAGAGGGCACGAGCCGCAAAGGAGAAAGCTGAACGTGAGAAACAAGAGAGACAGCAAAAGAAGAGGAGGCTTCTGGAGGTCAATGCAGGTAAAGTCTGTTTATGTTGTACTGCTTTACGTGTACACAATTTAAAACAGGATAATGATTTATCATGTAAAAGCCATGGTTAATGCTAATATTCACATGCTATTACTAATTGGGAATGAATTTCCAAGTAGGTGCCGTACTTTAATTGAGAATAGCCAAGGCCAGTGAAAAGCCAATTTTATAACATTTTTTGTTAATTCATTTTCTAGATCAAATTATCATACTCTCTCATACTTTGAATTTAAGTGAATATGGATGAGGTTTTTACATTTTGATATTGCAAGGTCCAGGACTCTGGTTTTCAGTGACTAGGGGATTTATTTACTAACACCTGTTCTTTGATGAGTTGATGTTTATGCCAGACCGTCTGGATGCAAATAACAGTTGTTCCTTTCAATAGTTGTTTTTTTTTTTTTCTTTTTAGCGTAGATAATGCCAGAAAGTTGTTAAACAGTGCAGCCTCCAGGCAAATGTCTTTTGCCAAGGCCAAGGCTGGCACAGTGGTTGGACCTGTCCCATTCATACACCAACATCAGGCTAACAGCTCTATGCCAACCAGTGTAGCACCAGTGTGCACAGTCAAGTGCATTTAGAGCAACTCACTAGATTCAAGCCAGAGCACAGCTGTGGGTCTACCATCTGCTCGAAACAACATGCTCTAGTCTCTGTAGCACTGTAATAGGTTACTTTGGGAAGTGGGGTCCAAGGTTGGCGTCCCCTATCCTAATTTTATTTGGTCTTTTCAAATGGGAAAAAGGGTCAAACGTCACTTACATTTGTTGTTAACTTGTTGTGTTGTTGAAAAGGCAAATCTCCAATCTGGGTTGACTTAGACTGTGAACACACAATCCAGTACTCTATAAAGCTATTGTATCTACTGGAGAGCTGTCCATGTGCAGCTCAATACATCATTTTAAATGTCTACTTCAATGTCCATTACATGCTAAAATACCGACATAAGTAAACGTAAATGTTCCACATGCTATCCAATTACAAGTAATGGCATCCTTTTTTCTCCATTGAGATGCAGGTGGCTGTTTATTAGGCCATTGAATATGCCAATTATTTGATTTTTATGCTACGCATGTCGAGGCGTCAACCGATTACTGCTGACATACTAGATTGTTTATCAACAAGCCGTGCTTTGTACATCTTTATTTTCGCGCCTTTGAATTTGTCGTCAACTTGGTGCTCCAATTTCAACAAGAACACAAGCTATTTGACAGAGTAAGGACTCCCTGACACAGTCTTATTGCACCATTTGCTTTCTAAGTGACCAGGGGAACACAGTGGTCAGCCGAGCCTGCATTGTGTCCAGGCATGTAATTCAGTCTCCTTGGCTTTTTCATCCTGGCCCAATTGACCCTGTTTCTTGCTTTGCGCTGGCACGATCCTGCTGCCTCACACTCCTGTAACTGGCCAGGTCATTGTCCTGATGATAAGTGCCACATCCTGTTGAGTGAAGAGGCTGGGGACATTAGGCTGCCTCTGAATAGAGGGGGGAGACATTGACTCGGAGAAACCTGTGTGACCAGACAATGGAAAATGCCAGTTTGAACAAGCTTTGATTAAATAGATGGTGATTGAAGTCTTGTTGCAGACAGGAGGATAACTATAGTTGTTTTCCAAAGGTTGCTTTTCAGCTTGATTCAACTCCTTCTACTGATTCTGCTGTGTGTTAGAGCAAAGATATCTGCTTGATATTTCTCACTGTGCTGATTTTAATCAAAAGACTTCCTTTGGTAGGCTAGAATTTTTGTCAAAACCAAATTTGTGTAATTATTTAATGGTGGCATAGAATATTTGTTGAATTGTCTTTAAGAGGAACCATTTGGCTTTTTATATAGTAATTATAAACCAAATAATTTGCAGATCATGTTTTGAGCTTGTATGATTCACAATAACTTAAAGAAACGAGTCAGATTTCTTGTGGGATTCTCTATATAGTTATTTGTGCAATGTCTTTAACTTAAACATACATTTTTTGGGGGGGAATGTTTACATGGACAGCTCCCAAAGGTTGTTCTTGTGTGTATTTTATTAGTTTATTTGACAGGGACATTGTACATTAATAAACATTTTAGTCAGAATTAGCCAAGTAAGCTATTTTTCATCTGCAGTCCCTGGCCTCTTCAGGGGCAGTGGTTGTCGTAGTGCAGTGCTTGGGAAGCCAGATGTTGAGGCTTGGCTGGTCAGGACAACCAGAGCTGGAGGATATTATCTATCCTACAAGTTTTGAGTGGTAGTGGAGAAATATACAAACTTACTAATTATTGCTGCGTTAGAATTCTGATTTCTTGATTATAAAAAAAATATACTTATGTAACATTCTCCAGGAATATTCAATGTATTCTTTTTTAGTCTTGCAATAGGCATAGGACTTGCTTTCTGAATTTTGTTTTTGGACAGAATAACATAGCTTTACAGCTGCACACCTGTCACAAGAGCTCTGGTCCCAGCTCAGTGGAAATGGCAGGCGAATTGTGCACATCAAAGCACCAATCAGAACCTCTCTATTGCCAGCGCTGGTCTCCCTTCTCCTCACTGTCCTGTTCCTTTTAACAGCCTTTGTTCACACACCATCCTCTCCAGCACAACCTTTACGTGAGCTGAATCACTGCCTTAAAACCATTTCACAGTTAGTAGCTTGACTAATACTACTCTGCCATGTGTTCCGCATCCATTACCATCAATGTGACATGCCTGTGATCTCCCTCTAAGATGTGTGTTTGTGTCAGGCTGCTGCAAGCACACCTTGTCTCCAATAGGAACAGGCCTGTATAGATGAAGTTTTCATACACATTTGCAATGTAATTTTTCACATGCTCTGATATTTAATCCAAGTAAAACTTTCTATCCTATTTCTTGTGATGAAATATGTTCTTTTAAATAACGTAAAATTCCCAAACATTAGGAGGAAAGTAGTATTTAGTTTGGGTAGCCTCCCACAAACTTCTGACAATATTTTTGGAAGTGAAAACAGCTCAACAGAGTGAGGGTTATGGGCCTTCTTGCCTGTAGTGTTTTTTTGTTTGGTTTTCAGCTCTGCCCACAATTGCTCAACTTAACTCAGGGCTGTAATGGCCGCTGCAACACCTTTACCTTGTGTTCATGACCCATTTTTGTGTAAGTTTGGATTAAGATCATGTTGGTACTTCTATCTCTGACCAAGCTTCAACTTCCTTACTGATGTTTTGTGATGTTGAACTTCAAACAGCGCAGCTTTCAAGGATAGGCGAGGGGAAAAATAAGATGAATGCATACACAAAATTGTGAACCTGCAGCCTTCAAGCTTTTGTCTGTACAGGTTTCACTGTGGATTACAAGGTCTACTCTAGCAGAAAACAGTGTGGTGGGAGCACATTGACAGGTCTTCTTTGGTTCGACAACATCAAAGACTGAAACCGAAAAATTTTAAAGACAGGAGAGCCTTTATGTAGCGACAAGTGTGGAGTGACAAGTGCTCTAATCATGATGCAAGTCCTTTCAACTTAAACAAGTTTTAACCAACAGACACATACTGTATGCAACACAATATAATATATACAATTCTCAGCAATGGGTTCACTTTTCTCTGTGCCCCTCCAATGCTTCTTTTGTCCAGGGCTGTTGAAAATGCATATTTGTATTCTCACAGCCTGGGGATGAAAATGTCAGTGACTTGTTCTTTTAAAAAAAAGCCGATACCCTGTACTGTGCGTTGCAATTTAGAAAAGTTCTGCCTTTGGGACCAACAAAGGTTATATATGTGGTAACAATTTTATAATTAATGGCAACTTTATATTACAGGTAGGTCCATCTCCCACATCAAGAATACTTGAATTTTGAACAATACATGTAATCACAATCACACAAGGTTTCCAGATAGCAAGTGTGTGTTTTGAGCTATCTAAGTTTTAAAGGTTTGTCTTGAATGCTATCAAGAACAATGGCATGTGTGAAAGCATACACATGGATTGATTTGCTTCATTCTGGGAACTACATTTTTGTATGGGTGTGTTGTTTGAGGGAGTGTAAAGCTTTCCATTCTGTGATGAATTGCCATGGCGCTGATGACAAATTTGGACGTCAAGAGGCGCTGGTTTGCCTCAGAAATTTGTGCCGCCTTTCCGCTCGGTGTAATGATGAAGAACTAGGCCCATATCAGCCAGAGGAGAGCATTGCAGCTGTTGAGAATGAGAATCAAAGCCAATGCACACGACGAAGCAGCATGGCAAGAGTAGGAAGTGGGCCATGGTATATCCAGTCTTTGTAGTAGTCGCATGTTGGCTCGAGGTACTGGAGCAGCCATTCCCCTTCTCACTAGAGATTCTGTGCTCGAAATGCACCAGCTACAGATTTGTAGGTTAGAGAGGACAGGCTGGCAATCAAAAGAATACATACTGTGCTAATTAAAGTTGCAAATAAGTAAGTAGCTCGTAAACCAAAATCCACCCCTGATTGTCAGATTTCAGTTATTGGTCAATTAGACTATGCTTCAGAAGCGAAGGAAACATCGTCACTGAACCATTTTGAGTCCTGTTTTAAAAAATCCTCAGCGTAAAGCCTGTGTGCAGAATAAATTGGGCATGAAGTACACACAATGAGAGTTTTGACAACAAGATGATTACATGGTTAAATCTGGTTTTCCCCCTTTCCCTGACTATACTCATTACTCACTACATTCATATTATGGAACTAAAAATAACTGCCACTAAAAGTCTATAACAATCCGAAAAAATTAATTCTAACAGTTTCCATAGGCATTGGATGATTGATTGGTGGTGGTCGGAGGGGCCGATGGCACATACTGGTTGCCTCGTTAGTGTGCCCCAGGGCAGCTGTGGCTACAGTGGTAGCTTATCACCACCATGGTGTGAATTAAAAATGACAAGTGAAGTGTCTTTGAGTGTCCCAAAAAGCGCCATATAAAACTGATATATCATCATAAATGTGGATCTCCCCGAGGTTTGTCACTTTTCTCTCACTTGGTTTTAGAGTTTTTCCTTGCCAATGCAGGA